GGCCACTCAATCACTCATTCGATACACACTCAACACTTACACAAATTCATACCCATGCCTCTCAAACATAACTCAAACTTTCCTCTTGGCAGGGCCTTTGTGAATATGTCAGCTACCATCGACTCTGTTCCCAGATACTTCAGACTGATCACTTTGTTGCGAAGTGCCTCTCTGATAAAGTGAACTCTAACGTCAATGTGCTTTGACCTCTTATGGCAAGAGTCCTCACTGTTTGCCATAGCTATTGCAGACTGACTATCACTACTCAGCTTAATAGTCTTGTTAAGTCCAGTTATTTCTCCAAATAACCTCTTAAGGAAAACTGCTTCTCTTGCAGCATTTGACAAACTAATATATTCCGCTTCTGCACTTGATAAAGCAACTACTGTTTGTTTTCTGCTTTCCCAACTCACAGGTGCAGACCCAAATTTAAAAATATAACCTGAATAGGACTTGCGATCTGTTACATCACCCGCATGATCTGCATCAACAAACCCTTCTAAATCTCTTCCACTTTGTTTAAACACCAGCCCCAGGCTTTTGGTGCGTTTAAGATAGCGAAGAACTCTTTTTAGTGTCTGCCAATGTTGCTCTCCATAGCAACTATTAAACTGACTCAAGTAACTTATTGCAAAAGCTACATCTGGTCTTGTGCAGACTGCCAAATACATTATAGAACCTACTAATTCTTGATAAGGAATGTTATTAGGCGGCTCATAATTTGTTTCCACCGGTTTGGTCAACCTATAACCAGCAATGAGAGGTGTAGAAACAGGTTTGCAGTCCTGCATGTTAAACCTGGCCAATATTTTCTCTGTATAGCCTTCCTTCCTGATCTAGTGTAATGTCATCTTCAGTTTGTTGTAGACGCATTCCCAGAAACAAATCCGCTTTACCAAGATCACGCATCTCGAAGGTATCTCTTAACTCCTTCTTGACTTGCTGCATCTCTGCTTTATTGTTCCAAAAAATCAATAGATCATCAACGTACACCGCTAGGATTATTAGCCTGTGTTGACTTCTCCTTATATAAACACATGGTTCGTTGTCTAGCTGAGTGAACTTCAACTGTTTCAGTGCTGAGTCCAACCTTTGATTCCAAGCTCTTGGGGCCTGCTTCAAACCGTACAACGACCTTTTCAGTAAGCACACGTAATCCTCTTTTTCCCTTCTCCTCAAAACCTTCAGGTTGCTTCATGTACACTGTCTCTTCAATGTACCCATTAAGAAAAGCGGTCTTCACATCCATTTGATCAATTTTTAATTTATTCTCGGCAGCCATTGCCAACAGAAGACGCAATGAACTATGCCTGATCACAGGTGAATATGTCTCAAAGTAATCAACACCTCCGCGTTGTTTGAAGCCCCTCGCTACAAGCCTTGCCTTATATCGTTGCTTGTTTCCAGCTTCAGTCTTAACTTTAAGAACCCACTTGCTATCGATCACGTTTTGTTTTGGCTCTCTCTTTACTAGCTGCCAAGTTCGATTCTTGTGAAGAGCATCCAATTCTTCCTTAATAGCCTCACGCCAAAGTAAGCTGTCTGTCCCTGCGAGTGCTTCTCTGACATTTATAGGTTCCTCCAAACCAAAACCACTCTCTCCGGGTAGAACTGCTTGATATAGAACGTGATCAGGGAATTGTCGTGGCTTTCTGTTTCTCATAGGGTATCTCCGTGCATCCGTTTGATCACCTCTATGATCATTCTCCTCCGAAACGGGTGCATCGGAACTCAGATACCATTGTTCAGTATCATCTCTGTCTTCAGTCTCCTCCGTAACTGAAGAAACAGCACCTGTTCTGTCCTGTTCTATATTAGCTCCAATATCCTCTGACTCAGGCATCATAATACCTCCTCCGTTCCCTGAGAGGTGTCTCTCTGTTTCATTTCTACAACCATCCTCTATCTCTTCTCCACAGACCACCTCCTCCGTTGATTGAGTACTTGTTAGTGGTACCACAGTGAACTCCGGAATCGGTCTTTGATGAGAAGCAGAATTTTGTCTAATAGTCAAAATCTCACTAGATGGTTGTTTCCGTGAAACTATATTATTCTCAAAAAATACTACATCTCTTGCCTTATGAAGATTTCCAGAAACAGGATCCAACAGTCTGTACGCTTTGGAATTTTCGCAGTATCCTAAAAGTATAAGCTCCTTACTCTTTGGATCTAGCTTGCGCCTCTTTTGGTCAGGAACGTGCGTGTAGGCCTTACACCCAAAAACTTTCACGAAGCCTAGGTTCACCTTTCTTCCCGTCCAAGCTTCTTCAGGTGTTTTATCCTTGAGAGCCTTCGTAGGCGACCTATTTTTAAGAAAAACTGCATATACAAGAGCCTCTGCCCAGTAGCGTTTTTCTAATCCTGCCTCATGCAGCATACACCTAGCTTTTTCCATGAGAGTTCTATTTGCACGTTCTGCCACCCCATTCTGCTCAGGGGTATACTCGACAGTAAGTTGATGAACTATACCGTACTTCTTAGTGAAACTTTTCATTTCATTGTTCACATATTCTTTGCCGTTGTCTGTTCGGATTGACTTCAGCTTCTTCTCTGTTTGCCTCTCTGCAAAAACTTTAAATTCTTTTATTTTCTCAACAGCTTCGCTCTTATTCTTCAATAAGTAGACAAAAGTTTTCCTTGTCTTATCATCTATAAGTGTCATAAAATATCTGTACCCCGACATAGAGTTGATACTCATTGGCCCACAAATATCAGAATGTACTAACTCAAGTACTTCACTAGCTCTTTTAACCTTACGCTTTGGAAAAGGTTGCCTTGTTTGCTTACCCATCAGACAAGATGCACATTCTAAGTTACTATTAGAATTTAGAAAATTTACCCCATCTGCCAGTTTGTCTCTCAAAAGTTTAAGATTGCTTACTCCTAGGTGACCCATCCTCCGATGCCACAACATCAGTTGATCGTCCTTCTGCATACTGGAGACTAGTGCTATAGTGCCCTGTTGAAAAGGATTAAGTTTATAAATGCCATTATCTACCCAACAGTCACCAGCCACAACTGATCCATTCACCTCGCAATCATCCGAATTGTAGATTTCACAACCTCTGTTTGAAAAAACTACAACTCTACCTCTCTTGACTAACGTATTTACGCTTAGTAAATTTGTAGCCAAGTCAGGAGCATACATAGCGTCTCTCACTCTTATGCTCCCATCCACATCAACTACATCACCAATTCCAAAGCCATACACCTTACCACCATCCGCGCATGCAATCTCTCTCTTCGATTCATACGCCACATAATTCCTCAGACAACCTTTATCATTTGTCATATGTGAACTCGCTCCCGAGTCAATCACCCATTCCGCTGAAGATCCTTGACCACTGGTCGCAAAAACATTTGCTGATGCCGAATAATTTTTTCTTCTGTTAGGATTGTCAGGGCATTCAGCCGCTTTGTGATTTCCTTCACATATAAAGCATTTCATCGCCTTAGCTTTCTGGTTTGCTTTGAATTTTCCTTTCCCTTTCTTCTTGCTTGCTGTAAGAGCAGAATCATCTTGTTGCAAACTAGTTGATGGTGTGCTCTCATCGCTTAGGTTGTATAACTTCGTTTTGACATAGTCTGTAGTAATAGTTATATTACTATTTTCAATAGCCATCTTCAATGGTTCATATTTCTTCGGGAGACCTTGAAGCATCAATGTAGCCAGAATCTCATCATCAACATCTTTACCAATGTCACTAAGTTGCTGTGACACTGACAGTATGGCTGTCACATATTTTTCAATTATTTGAAATTGCTCCAATCTCATGCTAACTAATCTGCCCAACAATCGACATTTGTTATTTATGCCCTTGTCCTCATAGGCTTTGCTTAGCGCCTCCCAGGCCTCTTTTGCCGTCTTTGTCTTTCTTATCAAGGTGCGACATCTCTGATCCACCATCAAACCGATTCGAGCCCGTGCTTTTTGGTCTCTACGAATGCCTGCTACATCCTCCGGCTGTGGTGACACTTGCGTATATTTCCACAAATCATCATCCGTTAGATACAACTCCATATCAAACTTCCATGTGTGAAAATTAGAGCTTCCTACTAATTTTTCAATATACGCAGCATTAACGCCCGCACTTCGTATTTCTGTACTCGAATTTTCATTTTTATATCCATCATGCGACATTTCCATATTTTCACTAGTATTCATCTGGGCCCATAACCCTGATGGGAAAGATTTATTCCCAATCAATGATGAATTCAATGAAGATAAATTATTGACACATAGAATAATAAAAATATATTAAATTAACACGAAATACATAATTATAGAAAGACAGTTTTTACAAAGACGTTTTTCTCTCGACTGCAAGTGACACACACTGGAACAGTACAATTTTCAAATGTAACACCTGTTATCTGTAAGTGGCCAGTAATCCTTAGCGGAATGTTATGAAATCTCTAACAAAAAAAGAATACAATTTCATTGGTAAAAGGATTATATTTTCCGGGCAAAAATCGTCAATTTAGATGTGAATTTTTTTGTTCAAGGTAATCAAAAGGATTTAAGTACCTATATAGCATAAAAAAGTTCTTTGAATTTTTAGAAATGGTATACTTAATAAATACAAGATATGTAATAAATAAGCCACAGTCAAGAAGCGAGTCCGCCGCAACATTAAATTCGCTAATGTTTAATGTTAAGAAAATCTATAAAGAGGGAGTAGAGCACATGGCGGTCTATCAAAACAACAAAGCCGATTGGTGTGGTGACGTTCCACCCCGGTGATATATACGTCGTACTACCTAAATGCCTTATGTACACCGCTAGTTACTGCTTCATGACTACTCCGAGCTCAGTGTGTACTGCAATGCAACGGAAAATATGCGTGTTTACCAAAGTCGTTTCGGTAGAACGGTGTCGTGTGTTGCGTCACGGTTAAGGAAATTGATAGTGCGCCGAGGTCGACGTGACTAGCATTATCGTGTACTCTATTTTATATTTTGTGCGGTAATTTATTGTTCGAAATGATATTTTGTGAAATATGTGCAAAAAAAGTGATGAAAATAACGTTTCCCGATCTAAACTCCCCGTGGATGCCCGACTAATGTCCGACGCCACGACGCAGTACGCGTCCTATATAACCTTGTTATTCCAAGTAAGTTTATTACACAGTTTTAGCATGACAACGAAGCTTTTGAGTTTAGTAGGTTATTATTTAAATATGAATTCATATTTTAATCCTCAGTTGCGCTAAAATGACTGTTTATTTGTTAACAATATGCTTTAAACACTATTTCGAATAATAATATTGAATTGAACGTCACAAAGTACAGTCGACAAGATGGCGGCGAGTGGGGAGAGGGCGCCCAGTTGGCCAGGTGCTGCCGCCGCGTCGAGTTCGGCGCTATAGCTAACTAAATAGGTACGCAGAGTGTTGTACATTTAGAACGTTCACAATGGCTACCGCGAAAGACACGTCTACTTTCTTTCTGGAGGCAGATGCAAAACAATTTGACAGTGTTTTAAAGTTATACCCACAAGCAATTAAACTAAAAGCAGAACAGAAAACAAAGAAACCAGAGGAGCTCATAAAATTGGACAATTGGTAAGTGCGAACGTCTTTCAGTAGAGAAAATGCGGCCGTGGCGTGTCAATGAACTTGTATTGTGTGTGTATCCGTGCAAACTGATTTGATAGCTACCTCCCTCGCGGACTGCATCTCTAGTCCGCGGACGGCTCATTAAAATCACTGCGTCACGTGGGATCGATGTCAAATTGACACTATCGTTTTTCCTGAAGCAGTGTGGGGGAAAATATCAACGCGCTTAGGCGTTATAAAATGGTGGCTGTCCTTTACGTATCATCGCTCGTAAATGTTTGTAGTTTAGAAACATTATGAGTGTTTCCCGCTAATTCTGTAGATACTTTGATTAAATAACTCGCAAGATAACACTCCTAAAATGTTATTGTATTTCCAACTACTTGTAGCTAGTAGAAATTAAATTGCTTTGTTGTATGCTATTCACATCCGCTCAAAATGGTGACTTGCCTTTTGCCATGTACCTCTGTTGTATTTTATCAACATATTTTATTTGTTTTTAAAATAAAATACTTCTGTTGCAATTATTGATTAACCGAGTATATTGCTAGTTATTTAAATTATTTTATTAACAAATATTACCATGCATGAGTCACAAGTTCTTAGTAATTATAGAGGTATAGGGTATATAAGATAATATTGCAAAATAATGATTTGTTTTATTTTTATATCTATTTTGGTGATATATAGAGTTATAAATTATTCAAAAAACAATTATTTATTTACATAAATAACGAATCCGCAATTTTGTTTTACTTTTAACTATCTTATTTCAGCTTATGACTAAAACAGTAACATTAATCATTACTCATACAAAATCAAAGTACCTATTATAAAATATTTTAATTATAGTAATTCTGCATCCATATTTATTATGTAAATAGAACAATCAATTATAAAAATTTAATAGTATACCATTGTATGATTTTTTTTTAAAACAACGAAAACTTTTAGTTTACTTGTGATTAGCCTTGAAGAAGCTAATTTGAGTAAATGGTTTATAATAAAAATATATCTTATCGATTAGCTGAATAGTCTATCACCATTGCATCTTTGAAGTTTTTTTAGCTCTGATATTAAATACAATGGTGTTTATCTACAATTTATTGTTCTCTCTTTACAGGTATCAAAATGAATTACCGAAAAAAATTAAATCCAGGGGTAAAGAGGCACATATGATTCATGAAGAGCTAGTACAACTCATGAAATGGAAACAAGCTGTAAGTTTCTTAATATATTCAAGACAAGATTTTATTTAATATTTAGTCATAGTTTTTACTCATAAATCTTAATTTCCATAAGTATTTATAGCATTAATAATAATCCAATTTTGAAAATTCAATTCTATTCAATAAACTTTAAATTCATCAAGTAATTAATCATATGTTCCTATTAGTGTAATTATTATTCTTAATATTTTACCTTTTTTTAACATTAATTAAGACTTTTATTACTCCAAATATCAAAAACAATGTCTGTGGGATAAGAGAACATTAAACTTGGATCTGTGTAAAATAAACCTTTTCTTTGGACCATGGTACCTGAAGTATTATTTGCAGTAATTGACTTTTTTTATTTAAGTGTAAGTCACTATTATAACTGATACTACTGAACTATCAAATATTATGGTATTTCATGAAAGAAGTACTACATAATAATTCTAATGTTAGCCAAGGTTAAAGTAAAAACTTTGAGAATTCAGCTTTTTGTGTTCAACGTATCATTAGCTATAATTTTGCCGGGTATGCGCCTTCCGCGTAAAAACTCAATTGATAACGACCTACCGATTACGGTGCTATGGAAACCATTGAGCGGTCATCATAACGATACACTGAGCCTTCATGATTTTATTATTGAACACAAGGAGGTTTTATTATTCAGAACTAACTGACTCGCCAAACGTTGTTTTGATATATAAATTATTTCTAGAGGAATCGGAAGGCACGCATAAAGTGTTTGACAGGTTACAAGTTGACTGGTACAGTTTGTATGGGAAAATAAAATTGTTGCTATAATTGTTCCATAATTTCTCATCGTTTAAACCTTTCCTGGACTGCCACAAATATGTCAAAACCAAAATTAGCCAAATCGGTCCAGCCGTTTTCGAGTTTTAGCGACACTAACGAACAGCAATCCATTTTTATATATAAGATTTAGTATTGGAGCTGTACAGACAAATCATAGATAATCCTAACATTTTACTAGGGCGTAATAATTTTGTACTCGTCTCTCGTCTCCGATTCTGTTTGCATTCCTTACCTTGTGTGAATTTATTGAAGAAACCCATGGCTTGAACAAATTAATGCACGGGTTTATCGCCAATTGAATTTCATGATTGTGTTTTATACAATTCCATGTGAGGACCAAATCGTATTTCGACCGTCGAATTTTCGCCATTCATCGGAGCTTCGGGTTAACGCGAAGTGAATTCTTTCCATTGCAGAGGGGGAAGTTCTACCCGCAGCTGTCGTATCTGATCAAAGTGAACACCCCAAGAGCGGTGATGCAGGAGACCAAGAAGGCCTTCCGCAAGCTGCCCAACATAGAGTCCGCCATGACCGCGCTCAGCAACTTGAAGGGCGTGGGAACTGCCACAGCGTCAGCCCTCCTCGCCGCTGCCAGCCCAGAAATCGCCCCCTTCATGGCAGACGAGTGCATACAGGCCATCCCCGAGATGGAAGGGAGCGACTACACTGCCAAGGAGTACCTCAATTTTGTAAAACACATTAGAAACGTCTGTGATAGATTAAATAAGGTGAGGATGCGAAGACTTTGAGCATTTTGTTTTTGTTATGTATTTTATAAAAGATTGCCCTTCCTGTCAGACGTGTTATATGCATAAAGTTCACGTGGACCCAGACTCGAAAACAATATCCGTGATTCACATAAATATTTGTCCCGTGTGGGAATCGAACCCCAGCGCCGAAGTCAATACTTTGACAACCGAGCCGCGAGTCATCGCAATTATAAAATGGCTTAGTTTAAATCAGCATTTACATATGGTCATCTCACATAATTATGTTTCCGCACCAGATCCCATACGATAACAATCTCTCAATCGTGATTAAAAATTAAATCTTATAGTTGGGTTTTAAGTTCGAAACTTGGGATATTAAGTTCAAACTGATAGCGATAAAAATGTGTGAAGATCTATTATTTATGATAAACTTTTAATATTCCCTTTTCGAATCTTATTTAGTCAGTAAATTATTTTTAACCGACTTCAAAAAGAAGGAGGTTATCAATTCGAATGTTTATGTTTTTTTTTATGTATGTTCGGGCATGACTTCGTCACATATGGACGGATTTGCAAAATTCTCTTTTGTCCGAAAGCGTTTCATTCCAAAATGGTCCCATAAAAGTTTCATATAGATCTGATGATGATTTTCGGAGATAGCAACTCTTCGAAATATGACAGGAAATCAAACGCGATTGCTACTATCGCATAAATATGCGTTGTTTAGGATGTAACGTTGTAATAATTACGTGTTTCGCGCACTTCAATTCTTTTGGGTTGTTTTTCTAAAGATACTTGCTCGTGATGTAAACCGCCATGTTCTACGCAGGATACTCGTTATAAGTAATTTGTATAACACATGGCCATTAAACTAAGGTTGAACTAATTTAATGTATAGTAATAATTAAAAGAAGTTGGAATTTATAACAATGTGTATATGTGTGTAATATCCGTTACATGTATCTTCATTAGTTGTAAACAAATCGTTAGTTATAAACCTACAAGGATCTTGAATCCTTATGCCAAACGAGTTATTCAAATTGCGGCAATTTCAATACTAGCGCAACGTGCGCATTGTATATTCCATGATAAATTGCTTCGAATGTGTCAACAGTCATGTAGGAAGTTGTCTGACTCACTGGTATGTGGGTCACTGCTACGATTCTGACCGTAATGGCATTTGCTGTGCTAATATAATTAAGCTATATAAGTACGTGTAAAGTAATGTATATGGTGCAAAATCTTTTTGCAACGCCGCTAACAAGTTTTTATGCAGAATTTGGTGTTTTATTGGGGTATTTGCAAATAGTTTAAAGTCGCATGGTATGCATATCCGTTTATTATTCCGGTAAAATTAAGTCCTAAATTCGAATCTCGAGTAAAAGTATTTTTGCCAGATCAGCTTAAATTTTCGATTTTGCTGCATAACTTATTTTCATCTATACTTAAAATGAGGATTTTTGTTATTCCGCAGGAACAAAACGGCTGCGGCAAGAAATGGTCGCCGCACATGGTCGAGCTGGCGTTATGGACCCACAACATCGTGTCGGACCTGCAGCCGGAGCTGTTGGGCAAGGAGCCGAGCAGCAAAGTGGCACCCACCAACGGCGGGTCACCGCTACCGAGCGACGAGAGCAACCTAGAACCGCCCGCGACCAACGGCAACGGTGAGTAAGCGAACTTTGTACTCTTACAAATATCACCATGCAATTATTACTAGCGGACCCAACAGGCTTTGTCGTGCATTAGTTGTTATAGTCTATTATTAATGAACGCATTAACAGCCGAAATATATTGTCGAGAAAAATTATATTTATACAGCGTGGCGTTACAACCGCGACAATAAATGAAGACACTTCTAACCCCACATGTCAATAATCATAAAAATAAACGTAACAATAAAAAAATACGAACACCAATTTACTAAAAAAGAAAAAAAATTGTAACACCTATACAACTACAACTGACTGATTCATACATTCAGAGAATTTTTTATCAGTTGCTACAACGTCGTATTACAAGACTCACCTTCTAACAGTATGTTTTATCTTATTTAAATTCATTCAACCAATTCATATGCTTTGTGGCCTTTACAATTTAACTTTACGTTGCAGTTTTATACATAGGGTTTTTCTAAAATTATTTGTTTTAGAAAATTTAACAACTCTGTAAATATTGATGTTTAAAGAAAGTAAATGTTTAATACAATTTTATTAAGTTGTATATTATGCGAGTATTCGTGTGTGATGTTGTTTGTTAAATAAATGCCGTCGGATGGCATTTGTTTTTAACAACATAAAATTTGAATTATTTTTAAGTAGTATTAAAACAAAGAACATTCACAAAAATAAAAAAAAAAACACTGCCATCTCCTTCACCCGAAATAATTGAAAATAACAACGCATTATAACAAAACAAAAAACTGCCATTCATTCGCTTCTCAGAAGTGAATTTTGCCATTTGAATTACAATGCGAGAAACGCACGACCAACCGCTGTGCAAGGCAAAGCGGCTCTATACTTAACTTAAAAATGGCTTAACCTCTCATTGCCTGTGCGAAGAAACTGAAACGACAGGTACTGCGTTCATTAATTATAGGATACGACCGGACTAGTGATGTGCTCTATTTAATAGAAACAAAATATTTTAAATGTCTTTTGTGAAGGATTTTTCTACAGTATATAATATAAAGAAAACCGGACAAGTGCAAGTCGGACTCGCGCACGAAGGTTTCCGTACCATTCACTATAAAAACGTTAAAAAAAAAGTCATGTCCGTTGTAAGGGAGCCCCACTTAAATATTTAATTATTCTGTTTTTTGCGGCAACAGAAATACATCTGTGAATATTTCAACTGTCTGACTATCACGGTTTATGACAGACAGCGGAGTCTTAGTAATAGGGTCCCGTTTTACCCTTTAGGTACGGAACCCTAAAAAGGTTTCGATCTAAATTTCATAGAGTTAAAACTGATACTGGAAAGTAACGAGTTTCCATTGGGGCCAGTGAGTCGGATCAGACGTTTTCTAATACATATCAAAGAACATTAGCATTGCTTTTGAGATATGATGTGAAATGAGATAATTGTAAAAATAGAGATTGGATCAAACAAGTATTAATATGGAGATATGGCTTGTATTATATGTTTACGATTGCGGAAATATAAAATACATACTTACGACTTGACGTAGAACAATGATGCAACCGAAATGCGATATCAAACTTGCCTAACTTAATATTATGTTTATGAGATGCGGAATTTATTAATACGAAATGAGATTTATCTTCGCAGCTGTTGAGAAATAGACTCCACGGCGTTGCCACGATAACATTATATATACAAATTTAACTATGGCCGCTGTAACACTGTGATCCGATGCCAAATTAATGAAGGATATTTTTTTCGTGCTTCATCAGACGTTAGAAACTTTAGTTTTGTCCAGTGTGTGACTAATAGTCATATCTACTATGCGTAGAACTCAATCAATGTACAACTTGTAGACCTAACTTAACTGATGCTTTGCAGAAATAATAATGAACTTTTCTTCTTGTACTTTACAATATTGAGGTGTAAGTGCGATAAATACTCGGACGTATTATTTTAAATTACTGTTAATTTACTCGTGATGTATCGCTGTCTTCTATACGGATAAAAACGAGACAAGCGAGAGGAACACAAAGCTCTTCGATCCTCCACTGGACTAGTCTAAATTACGAAACCGGAGGTAGTTTTGTCATTCATAAGAGCTATAAACATCTAATCGAATAAAAACTGTGAAGTCGTGAAAATAAAATATTTGACTACCATCGTGAATTAAACTAAAATTTACGTTTCTTATTGTTATGGCGCTAAAATATGTAATGCTAAAATGTGTATAGTATGCAGTACATACGTTTTTCAAAAGATTTTTTTAACAAAATCTACATTTTATAGCAGCAAAAAATATGTTAATCTTACATTCTAATGGAACATTGTTTTCAAACCATTCTCGATATATTTTCCCCGATAGAAAAAAATCATGAAACTACCTAAAATTTTAACAAATCTTATATTGTATATTGATTTTAAGATTTTTTATTAAAATATTTAATTTTTTATACTAAAACGTAAATTAATCTTTTACGAATAAGAAAAATAATTGTTTTATAATTTTTTCATTAATTTGTTTCTTTTCCACATTTTATGAAATAAAAACAATAATTAATTGATTAACAAATTAAAATTGGAAAAAGATTTACATTCAATAAGGCTTGAACTTGGGACCACCGTAATTGTTCACTTACCATGACGCTCGGACCAATAGGCACGATATAATACACGATATCTGTGGAAGTTGACAAAATTTCGATTGTAGTTATAATTGTTGTCCTTTATCGATATAAGGAATTTTATCGATAATTTTTAAGTATCATTTCATTGAGGAATTTATATAACGTAGTAAGTCTTTAACATTTAAAGGATATATTAAAGATGTGTATTCGTATTTTCTGCCGTGGAGACCATGAAATTGCTTAAAATTTTTATGGGCTATTACTTTAAATCAAAATAAATAATTATTCGTTTATTTATTGTTTTTGTTGTAAGAAATGTCATTTGCTTTTATTAATTGATTTGACCTTAAGATGTATTTATAATCAATTGTAATCCGTTTCCTTATACTTTAAAATAATTAATAGGAAGATTTTCTAAAATTGTTGATTGCTTTCTCATACTTTGTTTGTTTCTATATTAATATTCTTATAATAATATAAAAGTAAAATACAATCATGATCTATATAAGATATCATAGCTGTGTACATTTTCGAAAGCCTTCCATGATACTAGCGATAGTATTTTACGGCCCACCACAAATAGGTAATGAATTACTTAGTTACGCGGCGCGTCGACAAAACTCGCGCGCTGCGGCTCGCTAAGCGGCGTTACCCCTCCTCGGCTCCCCTGCTTCACCACGGAAATAGTTAAAAATTCACTTCATACAGCGCCTTAAGTATTGTATATATTCAAAATTTTACAAACTACTCGTGAATTAAACGTGAAAAATTACGATCGTGAATTAAACTAAAATAGAACTTTCTTTATTAAGTATTTTTAACATTAATAGCTCAAGTCGACCACGTTACGTTGTGGCTATTTTTGTTCAGTTTCCGTTGGTAATTCTGAATAAAATATATAAAAACAATCATATTCAATGGCGATTTTGTGAACAAATATTCAAGTCAATCCAAGTTTGTGCCGACATAAAACAAAAGGTAGCAGGATTTTTGATCTGTATTTGCATTGGTGTCCAATCGTGAACACATATCCAAAAACCGCTTACAACATGGTTCACATATTTTGCTGAACCCACCTATGTGCGATAAAGGCAGGTGGATGATCATGAACATTTTAGAGTACCGTTCTAACGAATATTTAGAACGGTACTTCTATTTATATTATTTCTATGACTGTTATGCGCGAGCGGCTCTCAATATTAGTTACACGTCCCCTTATAAATATACTAGCTGCTACCCGCGTCTACATCTGCATAGAATTACCTGAAGGTTTAACATTTAGACAGAAAGATATGTATACATCTAATATATAAAATTCTCGTGTCACAGTTTTCGTTGCCATACTCCTCCGAAACGGCTTGACCGATTTTGATGAAATTTTTTGTGCTTATCCAGTATCTATGAGAATCGGCCAACATCTATTTTTCATCCCCCTAAATGTTAGGGGTAGACCACCCCTAAATTTTTTTTTATTTTTTAGACAAAATTTTTAATTTCTATTTTTTTATGATACAACATACAAAAATACATACAACCATAAATTTTCACCCCTCTACGCAGACGTAGTCGCGGGCAGCAGCTAGTAAATATATATATATATATAATATAAATTATAGCCTATGTTTTATTCTGATGTAAGCTATATTATTAAAAAGTTCATTAAAATCCATTCAGTAGTATTTGCGTGAAAGAGTAACAAACATCCATCCATACATACAAACTTTCGCGTTTATAATATTAGTAAGGATATCTAATAGCTCCGTCGTCCGTTGCAGGCAAGCTGGTTGACTCTGTGAACGAGGACACGACGACATCCTGCACGGAGGACTCTATGGACGCGAAGGCCGCCTCGCCCGCCACACCCGCCTCCCACTCCGACAACTCCGACTCCGCCTTCAGCACGCCGCGCGCCAAGCGGTAGGCAAATCTGTTTTCGTTTCGTTTTTTTTTTTAAATAATACCTTCTATTCGCGCATGTGGGAAAAACGCAAATAGAAGGTTCTTTCTCATCTTCGAGTGTAGATGTGTAAAACTGTAAAACTTATTGGTACATAGGTTTAGAAAAGAATTTTTGTAGGTAGAAGTTTTGATAATTGTTAGGTTTTCCATATACGTCAGTAGATGAGCGTAAACTCACTATTGATGTACAACCTAAACTATAAAATTTACCATGTTGCCGATAAATGATGTTTGAATAAAATTGGTACGTGTAGCCACTTGAAAATTAATAATTATCAATTCTCGCCGTGATAGCTCTGTGTCCGGGCGCTCGCCTTTAATTCAAATATACTCAACATATATAGCAACCTGAGTTCGCTCCCCGGCGCCGCGGCACCAATGAAAAAGTGCTGACTTATCACGTGCTCAGCGGTGAAGGAAAACAACTTGAGGAAACCTGCATATTTTCGAAATAATAACAAAAAAAATATTTCGAAGAAATGTGAAGTCTGTTAATGCGCAGTGGGGCCGCGTGGTGGACTATGCCCTAATACCCTCTGGACAAGGAGGCCTCTGCCCAGCAGTGGGACATTTATAGGGTGTTACTTTTTACTATAAATTCACATTTGTGTAAAGCTACAATATGTATTGTTTTCATTTATTGCAGACAAATAGAGGAGGCGAGTTCAGCAGAAGAGGAGAACTCACTGGGAGACTCAACAGACGCACAGCCACCGGTTACAAAGAAACTTCGAGAAGCCACACACTGACATCTGCGCACTCCCACCAAACATCCCTCGTGCGCCTATAAATAGCTTTTCTAGACTAAAATATTGTACCTAGGTAATTTATTTTTCAATTCCGTTTAATTTTAAAAAAAAAATTAGTGTTAAGTTTTAAGAGTACCGGTCGGTTTTGTAAGTTTTATAGGGTATAAATTGAAAAATAATTGAAAGTAATTTTTGGATGTGTTTCGATGGACTCGGCCGGGCGCACTCGGCGGAACGTGGAGATTGTAAAAATATGTGTGTTATTTACAGAGTGGCCCGGGTTTGGGCCTAATGCCGAGACTTAATTAGCCGCTGTCGTATGACCAATCGCATTCCTCGATTCCGCTCGCGATGTGATAAAATCAACGAAATGAATTTAATACAGCTTTACTGGTACAGTTATTTATAGTTGGTAATTCAAAACGTGCACTTAGTCGTGGGACACCAACACGCCTTTTGAGTGCACGAATGATTGATTCGCCAATCGCGTGTCGTTTGATTTGCTTTCGATAGATAGTATTATAGATGATATTTACCGAGTCGTTTTTAGTTAGACGAAACCAGCAGCCGTCATTTTTCAGTGGCTAATTAAATCTCCCGACTGTAGCGTTTAGGGTTTCGTTTGTAAAGATTCGTTTGAGACGTTCGCATCCCGAGTGACATTCCAGTAATTGTTAACTTGTACGTTGGCGGCGGGGGAGGGGAGCTTCGCCGTATCGGATCCGAACCAATTGCCTTGACAATTCACTCACAATTGCCTTATGACACAGTCTGCCCGCAGAGTTTATATGCAACAAGATAATACAAAGGTCGTGTTACCGGGGCGCCGGGCACACGGGCCCACAATGTAGTTTTTATTGAACAAATATAAGATATTAATTTTATAATGTCGCATTTTCAATTCAAAACGTGACCTGCACCAAAAACCTGCAAATTCGTCCAAATCGCAGACTAATCAATCAGTCCAAACTGTGTTAATTATACCTATTTTAAATGTTGTTCCATGATTCCTTTTTTATGACAACATGGCATTATAATAAGTGGCTTGCCCACAAAAATAATTGAGTCCATATTCACACAGCATAGAAATAATTACTATCCAATCTTTTGAAATTTGTGAATCATGATTTAGAGACTTGTAGTGATTTTAGCACTAGCCTATATTCACCATTCACAATTATAAAATTTAATCATTTGGATTGATAAAACAATATCAATTTGGTAAAAATGGGTACCACTTCCATTCTATTAATTTCCGTTATAATCTTTCATTATTAAAAATTCATGCTAGCTTGTTAATTGCTTCGTTCCTATGGGCTTCCCGAGAAATTATGCAACTGGATCAAAGCATCGAGGTCGTTATCGACATTGCATGCTCTGATTCTAAATTTGTTAATGCTGGTGTTCCACAAGCTGCGTACTGACTCCTACTCTTTTTCTTCTGCATATCAATGACATGTTGCAAGTCAGCAACATGTTATGCAGACGATATCATGACTCGTACACTGGCTGTACTAATATTTCTCGGGAAATCGTTTACGAGAGCCGGAACAAGCTTGTGTCAGAAGTCGAGACTATGTTAACCAAAGTCTCAGACGTGGGGTCGACTGAACTAAGTCTAATTCAACCCCAAAAAGACACAAGTTGGTTCTTTAACCGCTATAAAAGTCCCCATTTGTCGTAACTCCTCATTTTGAGAACACTGCCTCAGCTGGTGTGGGAATACTTCGCATCGAAATTTCGAGCTATTTTCAGTTCTACGGTCAATTGAAAGGTAAGGCCTAATTGGCTTCAAAGAAGCTCAGTGTACTCAGCAAGGCGAGAAGTAATAAGGCGCAAATTCGGACATGGAACACTGATCTCATATCTGGGCAGGAGCCCCCCATTATCAGCTTCTCCCATTTGACCGCATTCAACGTAGGGCGGCTCGGGTTATCGACGATTGTGTCCGATCTGCTTGAACGGAGAGATCGAGAAGCCGAGGATCACTGCATCTTCTACCACATCTTCTAAATATCACGGGTAGTTTTCCGAGGAATTGTTTTATCCCAGAGGCTGAATTTCACCAAAAACACAACCAAACATTTCATCCACACCACCTAGATGGCCAGCGTTCCACAATAGCGCGATTTTCCAGGCATTTCCTGCCTCGCACAACCTATCTGTGAAACCAGCTGCCGCCAGTGGTCTTTCCAAACTGTTACGACCTGGGACCCTTCAAAAAGAGAGCATATTCTTTCCTAAACGGGCGGCAACACTTTTCAAGCCCTCCGGTGTTCGTTGAGCCGTCACCGTCGGGTGAGCCTCTTGCTCGTTTGCCCCTTTTTTTATTTAAAAAAAAAAGTAAAAACCAAACCTTAAGACAAAAAAGCAGGCACCTAAAGTGATTTTACGTCGGAATGGTTCACGTGAAGAAGATAAATGGAGAAAGATTGATAAAGATCATTCATATTGCGAAAGGGATATTTCTGTAGGGGATGCCCTAAGTATTCGAAAGACACGATTTGCGGGTTCAAGTTTACCAACCAAAGAAAATAGAGATTTGAATAAGAAAAGCGAAAGTTATTTTGCCTTTACCTCTGGGAAAGAGATTTGAAAATAACAAACATTTGTTATTTATAAATGACTATTCATTTAATGTAGCAAATACGACGTAAGACGGTCTAGATATCACTTGTTATTTTTTGCATTTTAAAATTGTTTCAGAGTCCTTTTTGAACGTGACTTAGTGTTGAAAGTCTAGTGCGTAAACAATAGTGCAAACTGTTTTAATTTATTTGCAAGAAGATTGTGTATAAAGTGCAAAAAATCCAATTAACTGTATTGGTATTGTGATCTGTACTCAGTCTTGTGAAGTGTTTCTACCCACGATTGTAATTCAATAACCGAGTTATCATCCCGCACATACCTATTAAAGTACAACGGATTGGATATTTTAACAATTCCAAATAGGAGTTGTGTAAATTCATGTTGCTTGCTTGGCAAACGCGAGGTCCGAGTTCGAACCCAGCCCGACATCCGTCACTTTTTGTTAGTTTATATTCATATTTAAAAAATGGTTTTATGTTCGGCTTGCAAAGAAACGGTCTTAGTCACACAAAAGCGAATAAAATGTACTATCGCAAAGTGCTCACAACAATATCACAATGAGTGTGTGGCATATGTTGATTCTCCTACTTCTAGATCGAAATGGATATGCCCATCTTGTGTAGCTAACAGGCCAAAAGTTGGAGACAACAGCAACATGCCGGTTCAATCAAAAGGCAAAGATCAGTTAAATAATTTAAACCAACAGTCTCTCACTAGAGGAATATCTGCATCCACAGAACAAATATTGAATTAAGATAATATTGAAAAACTTTTAAACAAAACTTTGGATCAAAAATTAACTGGTTACTTGGAGTTGTTAGAATCAAAACTAAAAAAGGACGTGAAATACGTCTATTATCCGTACAGAAATAGATAAAGTAACATCAGATTTCACTAAAACCACTGACTTTCTTCATGCTGAACAATCGGAAACGAAATTGGAATTGCATCAGGCACAAAAAACAATCACTGACTTACAAAAGCAATTGTACAATTTAACCTAAATATATTGAGTAAGAAACTAAATAGCTCAGAGATTCTAAGTCGTAGTCATAATGTCGAAATTCAAGCTGTTCCAGAAAAAAAATCAGAAAACCTAATTGCAATAGTTAAAAAGATTTGTGACACTATATCATTTTGCCCATATCTGATGCAGAAATTGTACATTGCCGTAGGGTGGCTAAGATGAACCCGTCCTCTTCACGTCCCCGTAACATACTATTATCTCTTCCAACACCAAGGCATAGAGATAATATGATTTCTGCTGTTCGGCGATACAATAAACGTAACCCTCAAGACCGATTAAGTGCAAGACATCTGGAAACAACTTACAATTCCATACCAATTTATGTATCTGAACACCTTTCGCCAGAATGTAAAGCACTCATGCTGCAACTAGAAAGTTGCTAAGGAAAAAACCTACACTTACGTATGGGTTAAAAATGGGCGAATATATGTGAGGAAAGATGATAAGTCGGGTGCAGTACACATAAAAGACAGCACAAGCTTAAATAAGCTAACTTAATTGTTGAATGTAGCTAGACTTTACTCTTCTCTTCTCTTTTTTTTGTATATTTTTTTTGTTGTAACTTAGTGAAGTATTTATTTGGATTCAGATTACAGATTTAATGACAATGAATTTTTATTATCAAAATGTTAATAGATTTAGGTCTAAGCTTAACGATTTTAGTTTGAATTTACTCAGCTTTGATTATGACATAGTATGCCTTACGGAAACAAATTTAAATAATAGCATATTTGACGGTGAGTTAATTGATGGAAGTTAAGACGAAAAACGTCGCGATCGTTGTACAAGTAACAGCACTAAGAGTGAAGGAGGAGGTGTTCTTGTTGCAATAAACAAAAAGTTCAATGTCTTGCGTCGTAGCAATTGGGACTCAACCTGTGAATATTTGTGGCTTTCAATATTTCCGAGTGAAATTAATAGTTGCACAGTCCATTTGTGTTGTTGTTATCTTCCACCTGATATGAATGTTAACGACTTTGAAAACTTTTTTACCTATGTTGCCGACGTTATTAATAATTTTAATACTAATGACATTATAATTATCTTAGGTGACTTCAATGTTGGGTCAATTCAATGGTCAGAAAATGGTGCCAGTCCAGCTACTGATTTAAAAACTTCATTACTTATTGATAGTTTAGCCTACGGTAATATTAAACAATACAATTCAATTTTAAATTAAAATAACCGTATTTTAGATTTGATTCTGTCTTATATCAAACTCTCTGTTAACAGAACTATACCTCTTAGCAAAGAGGACAAGCACCATCCATGCCTAAGTTTTTATTTAAATCACCAAGCTGCACATAATAGTATAGTTAAGTCGTAATAAAAATAATTAAAATTAATTTTTATAAAGGTAATTACGATAATATCAAGAAGGCTTTAAGAGCTGTTGACTGGAAAGATAAATTATCAAACAGTGAAGTAGACGTTGATGTAGAGCGATTTTATGATGTATTGAATTCGATCATCTCTGTTAATATTCCACAAAAACGACACAACTTAAATCAATATCCGCCATGGTTTAGTGATACCGTTAAACGATGTATCAGAGAAAAAAGGAAACATCACACAAAATTTAAAAAGTATGGCAACCCACGAGATTATGACACTTTCGTTGTACTGCGAACTCGATCAAAAAAGTTGATTTCTGAATGCTACCACCGATTTTTAAATTCCATGGAAACTTCTTTAAAAAGTAATCCTCGACAATTCTGGAAATTTGTGAAGGGTAAGCGTGTGTCCAACTCAATCCCGCAGGTTGTGACATTTGAAAACGTAATTGCATCTAATGGTAAAGACATGTGTGAAATGTTCTCTAAATATTTTGCCACCGTGTTTGAAAAAATGACATTAACAGAACATCCATTAAATTAGATTCAGTGCAACCTATAAATGTAATGGCGAAATTAAAATTGTCTTACGATGAAATTTTACATAAAATACGTCACTTAGATATAAAAAAGTTCCCGGTCCAGATGGTATTCCACCTATATTTATTATTAAAAACTGTTATGAGGAATTTACGACACCACTCTTCATTATCTTTAATAAATCACTGAGACAGGGAGTTTTTCCGCATAAATGGAAAGTATCTCATGTTATACCCATATATAAGTCGGGTAATAAAAACTTGTGCCAAAACTATCGTCCTATAAATATTCTCTGTACATTTGCGAAAATTTTCGAATCTCTGATATATCCCCATATATATGCTTGGGCTAAACCTTTTCTTTCTGAACAACAGCACGGTTTCATTTCTAATAAGTCTACGGTAACAAATTTATTACAACTACAAAGTTTTGTCTTTAACGCATTTGAAAAACACAAACAAGTAGATTGTATTTATACTGACTTTTCCAAAGCATTTGACAAAGTTAACCATAAAATCCTATGCATGAAGCTTGAGAGTTATGGAATGCATGGCGATTTATTGCGTTGGATTGTATCTTACTTGGGTAATCGAAATCAAATAGTAACGATAAGGGGGTTTCAGTCGTTTCCGTTTGTTGCCACTTCCGGGGTCCCACAAGGATCGCATCTAGGTCCATTATTATTTAATATATTTATTAATGACCTCACAGATCAGCTTAAATGTCAAAAGTTGCTATATGCGGACGATTTAAAAATATTCAATTTCATAAATAATCTCTCCGATTGTATTACTTTGCAGAAAGATCTTGACACAATGTCTGAATGGTGTAGAAATAACTGTATGAAAATTAATATCAATAAATGTTGTGTAATATCGTTTAGTAAGATCATCAATAAAATACAATTCAATTATAATATAAATAATAGACCCTTAGAACGAAGAAACTCCGTTAAGGATCTAGGAGTAATACTTGACAGCAAGTGGACTTTTAAGGAACATTATGAATCTATCGTTACGAGATGCAGCAAAAATTAGTAGGTTTTATCTTCAGAATAAAGTAAAGATTTCAAATCCCCAAAAAGTATTATTTTTTTATATATCTCACTAGTACGAAGTATTTTGGAATATGCTTCGGTAATTTGGTCACCTTATTACGCAATACACTCTTCTAGGATAGAACAAGTTCAAAAAAGAGTACTTAGAATGACAGCATATCGTTACGGACTTAAGAGAACTTTGCCTGACTATGAGGAACGGTGAAAATATTTTAAAGTTGATACCCTAGAAAAACGACGGCAGCATTTTTCTTTGGTACTTTTGTACAAAATCGTTATCTCAGTGGCCCATTCTGAGTTACTAGCTAAAATAGGCATGAATACAAACTATCGTAGTCGTAATGCCAAATTATTTTATATTCCACTAGCATCTACCAAATTTGCCCAAAATAACCCTATCTCTAAAATGTGTTCCTTGTACAACAAACTTACAACCATTGATGAATCAGTAGATATATTCCATCAGAAGCTGAGTGCATTCAAACGAAGAATTCGAGGCACATAATGTTTTTATATTTTTTTTCTTATTTTTTTACTTTTATTTAAGTAGTTACTTTCAATACCTTTGTCTTTTGGCTTTTTAATTTATAACTTAATATTGTTTAATTATACCGAAGCATGTAGTGTACATATATTTTTGGCGGACAGTGTGTATAAGTTGCCATTATTAAGATTATTGTACTGTTTGCTGTTCTATGTACCAAATAAGATAAAATAAAAAAATAAAAGTATCAAGTCCGGATTATTTCAAGGAACGTTTTCAATTTCTTTGCTCCTCTCATAACCTTCCTCTATGTTCAAATGAAAACCTCTTCCTTAAAAATCCTTTGCGATCAACTAGTTTTTACCATAAATCCATCTCTGCTGTAGCTGTTAAACTCTGGAACTCTTTACCTTTGGCTATTAAACGTGCTCAAACCGTAGATTCTTTTAAGACAGGTTAAGAAGCATTATCTCTCTATCTAGCTCCTTTCTATCTCTCGATGTCTCTCTCCTTCCCTTTTTCACTCTTACTTTGACGATCACACACAAGAGGTACGTTTTTCTTATTACTTTAATTTTTGTTGCAACTTTCTTTTTACTTAATTTCATGTAGGATGTACATGAAATTAAGTAAAAAGAAAGTTAACCCAATAAGAATTTCTTTTGATAAATTTCTGAGGTTGCCTGGAAGAAATTGCTGTGTAGCAATAAGGTCGCCTTTTGATCATCAATATTTGATAAATATTTTGTTTAGTTCTATACTTTTTTCTGTTTTGTCGGGGGGGGGGGGGGGGGGGGGGGTTAAGAATGTTATTTTCTTGAATTTTCGTACTTACAAACTTGAAAATTTTAACAAATTGGTTTATTCCCTTGTACACAATTATTAAAGCCAGGGAGGTTACTATTATGTTGCGAACGTTAATTCCAATAGGATCGATAATCGCTTTCCTCATGAAGAACATTAGAGCAACTTCTACAATAGTTCCCGAAGAGCTCAGCTCCACCGATATAAACGAAACGATAAAATGTAATGCTTCCACATTACACCGGTATTCCGTGAGGCCATGTCTTACTTTTCCAGTCGTGTGGGCCCAATCGTACAAGAATAGAATCTGCTACAGCGCACAGCCGCGGTAAAAACAAAAAGAAATTAAATGGGCGAAAAAAATTAAAAGGCGCATGCCTCTCCGTATTCTGAGAGGTTTTACTAACAGTTGCGCCGTCGTTTTGAAATGTAGATCAAACATAAAAGTACAAGTAATCCCTACTTTACAAGAGGTCCTGTTTAAAAAGGCCGCGGTACTTCCCCCTTCAAGCGTACATCGTTCGAGAGCTGAATCTGTTGCCTTTTCTACTGCAGTAAACCACAGTCATGGTTCACAATTCGAATATCCCTCGAAATGGTCCGTTGCTGCCGTCTCGGTGTGAATAGAGCCTAACGAAATAGGCGCTGCAATAAAACGAGCAAGGCCGACAAAACATTTGCAAGATTTATTGTCACTTTCCATCGGGTGAGCGTACTGGCCGTTTGCTCTTTTTTTAAAAAAAAATAAAAAGTTAGTGCTGCGCCTCGACGTCCTGCTGCAAATGCGAGTAGAGCGTGGCGATCCTGTTGCCGGCCGCCATCCTGCCGGCGAAGTCGGGCCTGCGCGCCGGCCGGGGCGCCCCCAGCAGGGTGTCGAGAACGTTCCTCGGCGCCCACACGTCGCCGGCGCCCGCGCCGTTGCCCGCCCCCACGGGCGACAGGGGCGAGTCTGTGGTCGCCCGGATCACCGTGGCCCGGGACTCGCCTGCGGGGAACGCCGAAAATTGCACTCGTAAACTGCCCATTTGTGCGTGCATCGTTAGGGTCGTGCTCCCGCAGAGGACGGTATGTGGCGGAATATTAGTGAAGGTTATATCCAGCGGATTGGAATAGGATGATGATACTTAAATTATTTACGATATACTATAAAAATGTGTATACTATAAATACACACACTCACAAAGATTTAAAAGTTACGCTTCTACGGTGAAAAATTTAACGTAGAAGCATGATGAGGAATTTTGAAACGTTAGATTAAACGAAGATCCCTTTCACTAATTAACAAATGTACAAGTAGACTTTTAGAGTAACACCTTTTTTAGACAATGAGCCAATTTACGCCGAGTGACTTATTGAGAAATGTGACCATATTTTCTGATACGCATGCAATTATTTAAAAGAATCTTGTGCAATTATTGTATAGGTGCTCTAATTTCGATGACTTTGGGTAACACACATTTGAAATCAATTATGGGTATATATCTTCATTTTGAAAATACAAGGACACTACTTGACCAAATTAAAATTAATGCTAGTAAATAAAATTGACATTTCACACTAAACGCACGACTCGGGGTAGATATCAATGCTTCCATCGAACGCAGCTATTAACATACTCATCTCATGTCTACGTAGGCGTGGATTTACTCAACTCGGAAACTTCAGCCTTTTTTGGGATATAGTATACTAAGGCTAAGGTATCCCGGTTATTTCCCAACAAGAAGTGGTCTCGTGTTACCGCAAGACAACTAGGGACAAGTTTGTGTTGTACCGAAACAAGTTCATTCATACCAAATACAGTGGGTCACCAGTTCACAGGAGCCCAACGTCTCGTATGGTCACGTTAAAACGCTAAGTTTTACTTTTAACGCTTTTAAAACGTTTAAGTAAAACTGAAATACCTTCACCCTGTTTAAAGAAAGAACACGAATGTGTGCAAAAGAAAGTTGTTTGAGAAAAGAACACCACCGTTCGGATTTTTTAAATTATATAGGGTGAGTGGGGGGAAGATGAAAAAAGGGGTAACACAAAAATGCATCAATAAAGACAGATTTTGTGTAATTTATCCAATGCAGGCAACATTCATAAGACCGCCATTATGTTACGTCCCATACCTCAGTCGGCACTTTTCGTTTAGAGGGATCGTTTATGTGTTATAAGGGAATATCTACGCTGTGAATTTTACGCGAGCAAGTCGGGTGTTTTAATCTTACCCCGTGTCGTGTAACATCATTTACGAGGTAGGTAGTAGGTACGAGTTTTTTATTTGTATACAGTTATTATTTTTAATAGGTAGTTATGTTGCTATGTCTAAATATCGCATTATTATATATGGTAAATGTAAATAACTTTAACTCCGGCGTAATTCAAATCAAATAAATTTTAAACGATAGAGAAAAATCACTTATGAATTTATCAACAAGCAGAATTCGGCGGTCGCTTATAGTTTTCGAAAAAAGAAATAATGAAATAGTGTTTTTACTTTCGTTAGTTAATATGTCAATTCAGCTCGTATTTCTTGGTGGTCATAAAAAAAAACCTAACATCGAAGGTTAAGAGAAACCTAATCTATCCGAGTCGGATTCGCTCTGTGTCGGTTCTGTGACTCATTAAATTAAAAAAAAAAAAAACGGAATATCGATACGTGTATGATGCCGCCCGCTTCCTATATTTATCATGTTGGCAGAACTGTGTATTGAGTTTTTGAAGTCAAACAAATAAAATGGTGGATTTCTTAGTACAAAAAACAAGTTTTAAATATTTTTTTTCTCGAAAACTATAAGCGACCGCCGAATTCTGCTTGTTGATTAATTCATTAGAGATTTTTCTCTATCGTTTAAAATTTATTTTAATTGAATTACGGAGGAGTTAAAGTTATTTACATTTACCTCCTATATTATTAATATCATATATTATTTTGTATTTTAGGATTTATTGTAACATTCCCTCTTTACCCGCTAATATTTTCCCCGGCGGGGCAAGATTGAAATATAAAAACAAATAATTTGTGTTATTTAAGATATTTTGACAGTTCTGAAGTATCAGGACAATTAAAATTATAGCCTATTGACCGACGACTACTTCGATCTTTCCGCACCACCCTTTCGTCTTTCCCCCTTTCGAATAAATATAAAAGGGATTTATCGATATGTCATAAAAATATGCTCTTTGTACTTTATTCACTATAGATATAATTTTAGCTTAACTTAAAATGTGCTGTTCTGCAAGACGTCAAACACAACACTGCTCGTCTCATCAAAAAACCGTTCAATCTTCCCCCCCCCCCCATTCACCCTAGTAGTTTTTTTTTTTGGTGAGAGTGTAGATTTAAGCAAAGGGCCAGTACAATAGTGAGTAATAAAATATGTACCGTCTGGCGCGTGGTTGTGTGAGCGGCAGTCGAGCAGCGTGCGCAGCAACGCGCGGTGGGCGGGCGAGGCGGAGTGCGCGCGCACTAGCGCCTCCAACTCGCCCCACACCTGCCGCCATTGCTCCTCGCGCCGACCGCTCCATTTGCCGCTGCCGCAAATTAAATACTTACATGCGTTGATATATAGGTAAACTTTTTTTATTAACGAAAAACAAAAACCGACTTCAATAACCTCGCTCTGTATTCATTTCATAATTACTCCGTACAGATACGTATCTCCGGAGCCGAAGATCCAATGAAATTAATACGGGACCACATGGGAGGCTTTCAAACAAAAAAAGAATCATCAAAATCTTTTCACCCAATCGAAAGTTTTGAGGTAAACAAACATAGAGAAACTCCTCCGTTTTTGAAGTCGAATGTCGAAAAGTGAAAGTTGAAAATGCACGATAACTTCTTATATTTACACGTATACTTACAAATTACTAGATTAAAGTGTTTCTAAGGATTCATCCGGATGGATCTACCATGAAATTCTTAAAAGGTTTAACCCGACAAAAAAGTTTCACGTAAGAACATATACTTCTTTAATAGCATACTAAAATAAAAATAACGAATAATTCTATCCCCCGTACCAGCACTCTTTGTTTGTGAAAAACGACATTAAACGCAATTGATAATGATGTCATTTAATAACTTGGAATTATAGATAAATTTCAAAAAGTTTTTATCGGTTGCCAACAATAATTTTTACCGTGAACGGTTGAAGATCTAGAAACCAAACGTTTCTACATCTTCAACATATAGCATTTTAGCTGTCGGTGTGCGCGAGTATAGTAAAAATTTTACACTCATAATTTTCTAAACGCGCAACAACCTATTACTTAAAAAAAAATTGACGTGCGGTACCGCATATTGGAGGGTAGCTGGGCGGATGGCAATTCGTGGCGGGACTCCATGCCGAGAAGGGATAACAGGACTCCGCGGCAGGCGTCCACCTCCTCGTCCGTTAGCGACTCTTGCACTACCAGCTTGGTTAACGGCTCCATTATCTGGGGATAACAAGAAGACTGCGTATATTATCTTGAATAAACTCAAGTAGACAATGTTTTAGGAATGTTTTGTTCGCTTATACAGCGTGTCGTTACCATCGCGACAATAAATGAACACACGTCTAACGCTACTTGCCAATAATCATAAAAAAATATTAAAGTTAAAAAAAAATCCAAAATTAAAAAAAATATTTTTCAAACAAACTAATAAGGTAAAAAAGGAAACAAAATTTGTCATCCTATACAACTACAACTGACTGATTCATACATTCAGATACTTTTTCATTCGTTGCCACAATGTCGCATTACAAGCCTCTCCTTCTAATAGTATGTTTTGTCTCTTTTAAATTCATTCAAGCCATTCATATTCTTTGTGACCTTTTCAAATGAACTTTACATTACAGTGTTATGCGTAAGGATGTTCTAAAATTGTTTGTTTTGGAAAATTTAATAACTGTAAATATTGATGTTTAAAGAATGTAAATTTTTGCGACAATTTTAAAAAGTTATTCTCTATTTATGTGTTCATTAATTGTCGCGTTGGTAAAGACACGCTGTATAATATGACCATTAACAAAAAACTGTCCTTATTTAAATTAGCGTAAAGTTACTATTTCTGGAGCGAGAAGTTTGCCTTGCCATCTCTTTGACTGGCACGAGAGGTAAAAAATTTTTTTTCAAGAATTTACTGCCATTTAGTATTGTAAAACTGCCAGGCTATCTTTAATTTTATGAATTTTCATTAATAATAAATCATTTGTTTCGCCGTAAGCCTGGCAATGTATTATTTATTTTATTATCTTATAATATAGCTTCTAGTGTGTTGTATTTTGTTAGGTTACCTTTAGATAAACTGTCTATGTGTTTTTGATTGTGTGGTGTACAATGTAAATTACGATGAATTAATTCGATTCTATTCTATTTTGAATTATATCATTGGTCGTAATCAAAGATAAAAGAGCGAGAACACATCCGTGTCGAGGTTTAATATTAACAAAAGCTTGTAATGGGTGTGAGAATAGTAAATATTGTGGTAAAATGCGCAGCCATCCACTCGAAATGTTGCAGAAGCGTCCTTAAATACATATCGCATTAAGAAAGTATCCTTTCAAGACTAGCTCCATAATAAAATAAAATATTAAAATCATAAAACTTAATATGTGTGCATGCAGCACCATGCACATGCTAGTAGTGAACCTCCTTAAAAAGTGAAGAATAAGAGAGATTTAATGTGAGATACAGAGAGAGACATATATTTTCTCTCTCATGTAACGAATTGTTCCTAAGCGTGAGGCGTTTTTGAAATTTCAGTTTCTCTCAATTCTTACGTAACTATCGAATCGGAAATATTTATAAAAAACTTTCATTTATAACTATTATGAAGGTGGGTTCAACTCACCGAGCCCAAGTTGAAGATGAGGGTTGAGGAAATGGTCAGAGGCCAATACGTTGTATGCCTCTGTAATCGGGATCTGGCTCGCGAGTTGGCCCCGGCGCCTCGCAGCGGATGCAACTTGTTCTGATGCATTAGAGCACCAAACTCCTTGATTCTGCAACAGTCCATTTAATAAAATCCCCTTATAAACATGGTTGCGAAAAAATAAGTAATGAGACAGTTTAGAATTTAGAAAATTTGTCCGGGCTTAAGAAACTAACGGGTTATGGGTAAAGAATACGACAAAAACTTCGCTAAAATTCGATTGTACATACACATATTGTAAAGTCATACTTTAAACAAGAACCACACATCGACTTTGTGCGTAAACCGACATGCCAACTTTTTCGCTATATGACGGATTAATATCTTAAAAATCTTGAAACCGTGTACTGCATCATGGGCTGTACGAATTTCAGACGTGCATCCCAGTTTTGCACAACCTATCAGTTTAAGCGTGCACAGAACTTGTGTGGTTTCTTGAAATCTATATCGGTAGACGCGCGCGAAAGAGAACATTCCGGTTCCGTCAAAGTGCGAGCGAGAGAGCGAGAGCGTGCCATCGGTCCGACGTGTAGAGTTTCTTGATACATGCCCGGCGGTGGAGGAACACGCGCACGATAGACACAGCATTGCGGCTCCGTCAAAGTGCGAGCGAGAGGGCGTAAGCGTGACCGTCATTGCGGCGTGCACTTGTAGAGTTTCTTGGTACATGCCCGACGGTGGAGGAGCACGCATGCGACAGAGACAGCGTTGCAGCTCCGTCAAAGTGCGAGCGAGAGGGCGCGACAGTACCTGTAGTCGGTGACGCGGCCGCCAACACCCTCGGAGAGCGCGGGAGGGTCGTCATAAGGAGTGCGGCCGCCGAGGGCCCCGATCCAAAGCTCGCCGCCCTGCGCGGCCAACACGTGCGACGCGGAGCGGCCGCCGCCTTTGCTGCTAGTGCGGGGTCACGGAATTTAAAAGAGAACATTTTTAGTTAAATAAAATGATATAAGAAATCCCGAACAAGTGCGAGTCGCACTCGCGCACTAAGGGTTCCGTACCATCTATAAAAACGGCAAAAAAAATTTGCTGTATGGAAACCCTTTCTTCTGTTTTTTTAGTATTTGTTGTTATAGCAGCAACAGAAATACATTATCTGTGAAAATTTCAACTGTCACGGTTCTTGAGATACAGCTTGGTAACAGATGGACATATAGACAGTCTTAGTAATAGGATCCCGTTTTACCCTTTGTGGGACCTGCCCATGCATGCAACAGCGAACACTGTTGTTGAGTGGCCCCACCACGGTAAATACGATGATAGAACCATACCATAGGCGTTTCGGTTTGACAAGATCCACTCACCGAGGCACCTCCAGCGTGACGGAACGCCCGTTGAGCAGGAAGTTCACGAGGCAAGCTGAAGGTCGCGAGGCAACGTCGGCTGGTGTCACCCGCCACAGGGGCCCGCTGCAGCCACTAGCGCCACCTTCAGCCCCGCGCGGAGTCCACCAGCGCAGCACCACCTACCCACCCCGTCAGAATTTAGTGTTCGAAAGACTATGAAATAAATAAGAGAAGTGTTCCACTACTGCGTGACAATAACAATCATAAATCATTGCATTATAATAATCATTTTGGAATTTGCGATTGTGGTTAACTTGTACCAATATTCTTCAGGGCAAAACAATGCCAATACCCCTTTCAGTAGAAGGCCATGAGTAAGTATTTAAAACACTGTACTTACAGACTCTAAAGCCTCTGCGGCTGTTTGGGCTGCTCTTAATCCAGCATGCGCCTCGGCAGAATGTATAATTTCCACGTCATAGTTTGCACTCGAGCTCGCGTTTTGTTCCTCCTGAGAATAGAAAGTTTAAAATAAGTAATAAGGCTTTCATCTTTTCTTCACCAATATCCGTATCATTATGCATTTAATTGAATAGTATTAACTTATATTATTATTTTTATTAAATAATATATTTTATAATAAATTGAAAAAACTGGATTAATATCTGTATAAAAACAGGTATTTATAAACAGATTAAAAATAAATACAGGTGAAATTTATTTTACTTCATTGGCCCTTTTATTCCGCAAAAATTAAGCCATAGTGATAAATATTCTTATTTCTACTACTAATAATATATGTAGAAGAAATAAGAACTGATTTAGTAATTTAAAAGATATTTATTTTATTTCAAAAAATCCACAATCCAATACATAAAAACCAACAATAGCATTTTTTTCTAGTCTATCAGTAATATTAATCTATGAATTACTTTCATAGGTATTCCTGTGACAGTTGTAATAGCCAACTTATAATGTGGCAGGACTAAACGGCCAAGTAGATTCGCCAGCGCACTTGCACGGGATACTATGACTTCAACACCCATTAATCCACCTCCCATCTGGAATCAGTTGCAAAACAATGTAACATTTTTCGTAATTCACTTTCTCACAATGCCCTTAATCCATTGGCAGACATATAGATTAGTATCAATGACATATACTTTGGATCTATTATGGAAAAGGCTTGCATGTAATTTTTTAAGCTTAGTAATTTTATAGGAATAATACTATTCCCACTCTTGAATGTTGTTTATCATCAAATACCCATATCACGATTACTACTTTAATTGACATTTTAGGCTACTTAAACAAAAATCTGATTCAATCTTTTCTGAGAAATTGGTATACCTTTAAAAGGGCAGGTATGAGCCATTTTAATCCATTCCACAAAACTTGGATTGTTGATTTTGACATAAATTTATATATTTTTTAGTTTATAAAGAAGTACTAAATTCAGGGGCCCATTAAATTTAAATCATGAAATCCAAATTTATTCTTCTGAATATGAGAATTAAGTAAAAATTATTAAAAATATCCTACCTCTGTAAGAGTCTGATTGTTTACTCTTGTCTCAGCCTTTTCTGGTGTTACATTAACTATGACTAAATGACAGTAATGAACTACTAAAGACCTGTAAAGTAAAAATAAAATATTAATGTACCTTTATCTGTTGATTTGAATCCCAGTATGATTCATTGAAAAGTAGGCAAATTTACCTACATATAAATACCCCTACAAAAAAGTTGGGAGAATGAATTGCAAAGGAACTTGAACATGCTTCATAAAGAATGTTTCATGTTGTATCCAAGACTCAATATAGTGGATTATTTATTGGATATATTTTTTCTGTATTTGTAAATATAGAAAGTACTATCCCAAAATCTTAGTTGATGTACTGATCTTCTGAAACTTTACTACCATTCCTATTATGTCCATAATTTACAAATTAAAAATACAGTGAAAATGAGGATTCATACTGTGGGGTAGGTGGTGCATCAGTGCTGGTGGTAGGTTGAACAGTAGATGCCTTTTTGTTTTGTTGCACTAATGTATTGAGTGCTATTTCCGCCAAGCTTCTGATAGAATCATCATCCCTGGCACTTGTGATACAAATGATTCGGCCTCTGAAATAAGATAATGAATGAAATAAGAAAAACATTCACAACCTACTTCTGACAGTGTTACATAAGATGTGACATGGGGCTCAAACATTATTTAACTGCAAGACATCAAAACACTACTATTTTTAGGTTTAATTATGGTTAAAATAAATTTATAAACATATAGCCATTTATTTTAATTATTTATAGTAGCAAACCTGATATAAAACTTTCAAGTTTGATAATAAAGAAACTAGGTATAAAAATAGATATAAATTATACAAAATATAAATTGTTATTAATTACATTTTTCATGTGCATTATATTAATTTATGTTTATTACAATTAAGCAAAATAACAATTTAATACCGATTTTGAAAATGCCTCTCAGTTGGAGGCCTGGAAGATTGAGCTGGCGAAGGTTCACCCAATGCTTCAATAGCAGCACACAAACCAACAACATCACCTCCTGCCCCACGACGCACTGATCCCACCAAACAGAGACCATTTAACATCTAAGAAATATATCATGATTGACAAATTGTGACTTAGGGTCCTCAAAATATTTTGAAACATTAAATACTTACATGAGTTAAATTTTGCTGAGCCACAGCCCAAGTATTTAAAATATGAGCTGCTGAATCACTAACAACAAATCGAACCTGAAAAGAAAGCATATATTTAAATTTTCAGTAGTAATACACTATATAAAATAAATAAATTGTGAAATTTATATTACTAATTTTCCTTCCGGAAAGAGATCCCACACTATTCTGCAATATTCGACAGCTGCTTCAACACTACAAGTCCATAAAGATTTACAAACTGGGGGCAAGGGAACATAACCAGGGCCCCGGCTCTTGGAAACATCAAAATCTATAGGGTAATCCGAAGAAATACCAAAATAAGGAGTATGATCTAAGACGAATATAGTTTTGTGATTTGTAGGGAACATTGTAAGACTTAAATTGATAGAATATTTAAAAAAAGTTAATTGTTTCAAATCTTCATTGTAATGGTTAGTGGTTACTCTTAAAACCAGTATATATGTTTATGTATCATCTATGCTTAAAATAATAAACAGTTTTTAAAGTGTTCTTATTTCTAATTTAGTACGAAATACAAATATAAACATATTTTTTTTATTAATTTACAAATGAATAGACACGGCAAAAAATATCGATATTCTTGCATACATTTAACGATAAAGTCGATATTTTTCTCGCGATATATCGATATTTGATATTTTTTTAGACTGTCGAATTCGTGTTAATTTCTGGTTTCGTGTCTAATGTTACTAGATACTCTTTGCATGCTCCTCGCGCCTTGCTAGCTTTCAAAAATCTTTTCAACTATTTTCTTCATGTGTATACTTTTTTAAGAATTTTGAATTGTTTGTAAATACGTATGAACAATCATGCGAAAAGTGACGATTTATCGATATTTATCACTCGATAGTTATCGAAACTATTTCAAAATGCTGATACGATAAATATCGATATATTTTTTACTTGCTTAGCCCTACAAATAATACTATTAGTATTGTAATTTCGCCTTAGGCCTATTCATCAAATTAACGTTGGTCGTTAAAAAAAAAGTAAAGAAACAGCCGATACATGTCCCACTACCGGGCAAAGGCCTCCTCTATACAGAGGGTATCAGAGGACTCAAAGTATCAAAGTATCATTAAGAATTGGCAGACTTCACGTATCTTAGAAAAATTTTTTTTTGTAATTATTTCGAGGAATATGCAGATTTTCTCACGAATTTTTCCTTCACCGCAGGCTGCGTGATAAGTCAGCACTTAAAATCAAGAATTTCATTGGTGCCGGCACCGGGGATCAAACTCCGGTTGCTCGAGTACTCATATATTGAATTAAAGGCGAACGCTCCAACACTGAGCTATCACGGCTCCTGGTCGTTTATTTGTCATAATTTCCTGATATATATGTATATTGCCAAACTCTAGTCATATTCACCAAAATACACGCCCTATGATGTCAACTGGCTTTTTTTAATGGATCATCCACTATTGCCGTAGGCGGAGAAAACAATTATTTTTTTCGACTAAGATTTTGGAACCTTTACAGATCCACCGGGCTTAAGGTGGCCGGGTGCAAAGCTCACCTGGCTTAATCCTCGAACCTTGAGGGCTTCCAAGGGAGTCCCAGCTCGGTCTGTCACTTTATTATTATTATCACTGGCTTGAGAGACGGTCGCTTTGGCAGACGATCCATGGAGTTACTAGGTTCGAGGGCCCGAGAGGGGGCCCATTATTGACTCGATCGGTAGCTGTTATCTGACTAGGAGACTTTGTATAGATGTCATTATTATCACTTCAGAAAGCGTAGGCGTTGAGAGAAGTGGCAGAAGAAAGTCCAGCATCGCTTCTATCATTAAATGGTGGAAACGTGGCAGAATCTAGTATTTGTTTGCTGCGGAGGTCTAAGCCATTTACGGCGGATCTTACCTAGCTTTGATAGCTCTTCTCGGGTCTGTAGATAGCGGTACCTACAACTAATGGTTTGGGTTTGGGATAAGCAGCGGTGAACTCAAAGTATCAGCGCGACGCTGACTACCGGAATTGAACGATGGTGGGCGACGAGTAGGTAGATGTTGCGTATGAATCAATGTCGTAGTACTGCGCAAGAATCAATTTTGGATGAAGTGAAGCTGGTGTATTTGCTTCAGAGAAATTTGCGCGAAAACCGGACTCGCGTATGTCATAATAGGGCGAACTACTGCCTTATATAAAGTCATCTTGTTCCAGAGGGACATTTTTGTCGTTTTCTTAATTAACAAATAGAGGCGACCAAGTACGAAGGCCACCCGGTTCTTGACCCTGAATCATGTGCTGAACTTGAGCTTTGAGTCAAGGGCGACACCTAGGTATTTCTTTATTCACACAGGGTACCATACTGTCCATGAGTTTAACGGGTGGGGGATTAGGCTTTGCGTGGGCGTTTTGATCTAGTTGTATGATTATTTGTTCTTGTTCAGTGCACCAGGAGACCAGGAGAACCGGGTTGCGTAGTGGATCTAAAACTTTCCTTTCAACTCCTTCGTTCACCTTGCGGAGGTGTACTGGGTTGACCGGAAGCAGTCAAGGAGTGCATTGAGACTCTAGGCTGTCAGCCAGACATTCAGCCTTGACTTCGTCCAGCATTGCTGGCGCACCTCTCGGGCGGATTAGTGGTGACATTGTTGTTACGGTGTTACCCTTGAGTGATTTGGGAAGTTTCCAAAAGGCTTGATGAGACAGTTTGATAGAAGTTAAGGTGGAGTCCCACCGTTCGATCGCGAGGCTGATAAGTATATTTTCATCTGTACCTCACGCTGCAATTTACGTAGCAGTCTGCGATTCGAGTCGGTGCATATCTATTGTAGGCACGTGTGGCTGCATTCTTGTGTCTCATCAGGTCACGCACATCGTCTGGCGGGGCCTAGCGATGGTTATCCATCGCTGGGACCTGTCTCGAGCCTCGCTCAACGAAGGTGTGGACGAGGCTTGAATTGGGGTCTCCGTATCCTATTTCTTAAGTTGATCGGGGATTGACTCTTATAGGGGCGGATTGGTTTCTTTTAGTTTGGATATGATTTAACGGCAGCTAATGACCGTTTTAGTTTTGGAGGACGGCAGATGCAGAAGGCCCTATCCAAAATACGACTGGTCGATGATCAGAGTAACGCTCATGGATCTCTTCAGCATCGCGTATGGTTGATATTTTTGACGATCGCAATGAGAAGCACATCCGATGAGACTCGCTCTATGTAGGGATAGTATGTATGTTCAACCAGAGCTATGATGTTAAAATCGAGCCTGTCGGGTAGCGAGTCGAGAGCGAAGCCACGACTGTTTATGTGTGTAGAGTGTGTTTTTGCGATTGAAGTCTCCTGCAAGGATGGTGGAACCTCCTAAGAGAAGGCTTCGAAATCGGAGCGCAGTATTGTCGCGCTATGTCTATACGGAAGGTAGACGGATGCTATCGTGATAGGAGAGTGGCCAGTCCAAGCCAGTTGACAAACGGAGGCCTCGAGATTTGTAAGGGCAGGCGTATCTACCGGCACGCAGTGCATGGAATTTTTGTAATAAATTACTGTACCCGGGGTGCCGACATGACCTTTCCTAACTATACGATAATCGGCGATGTTCGGATCCCTTTTCGCGGGTTTCAGGAACGTTTCCTGAATAAAAGTCACGCTGTTCTAATTAATTCTTAATCTTCATAATTCGTTCATCTTGTAAAATGCTACGGTAATCGATCGCGGGCGCATCCGTCTTTTTTGTTGCCGTATTAAACTTGTTTGCTGCCTCCTTCATTTCTTCTAACCTATGTAACTTAAAATATTATGAAAATAATTAAAATACTAATAAATCAAAGATACATTGCTCTTTGCACATGATATGAGATCCCTTGAATTTAGTTAACTATAAAGTAGTACATATTTTTATAAAATACAGAACGGCATTTTTAGTATTGCTAAACTTTGACACCAGTTTCACTCGCTGCCCTGCCTTACGTAAACTCACAGATATTCTAAAGACGGTAACGCTTAATGCGTAAACTAAAGATGAAATGTTCTAATTAGGACGTCTTCCTGGCTTCACATCAGGCACGTTAACAACGTAACATAGTATAAAATATCATTGTATCAATCCCTTTTTATTACCTCAATCAATAATATTTTATAACATCATGAACAGAAAAAAAATACTGTTAAATTTTTATTTGAAAATTATGCTGTCTTATTCTCGCATTAATCTATTGATAAAATGTAATGACAATATTTTTCTTACACATTGTCATCAGAAAAACCGATATTTGTTTGACGTGTAGGGCTTCCCTATAGTGAATGTGAGAGAATGAAAATGGTGCATTCGTCGATCAAACCGGGCCACACATTTGAAGCCAGAAATTAAATTAGACATCCACCATTTTGTTTATTTTCGTGAAAATACTTTTTCAACCGGAAACTGGAGGAAATTTTGTACTCTATTTTATGTCACCGTGATTTAGTAAAACTGGCAATGATTATTAGATTAGGAATGTGCTATTAGCGTAGACTATTATCGGGCCCTTGTGTTAAAATCTGCAGACATCGGCCGCGCCGCTAGTAAACACTCTTTTAAAATTAACACCTTGTCCTCAAAGAAAAGCAAAATCCCGAGTTCACAGGACACCCGAGTCGATGAGAAAGGTTCGTTGAAGTTTGTTCAGCGAATATTTAGCAGGTGTAAAGGGAGTGATTCTCTGGCGTTTAAGGTATGTTATGTGCCAGTAATTGCAATGGGTGTTGTGTAATTTAGTAGTTATTAAATTGTTCATGGTCTTAAATAATTATATAGGTAATATCGAAGAGTAGTGGGCGACAGACCCCGGTGGCGCGCCCGGCAAACATGAACCACACGCCTGGCCCCGACAGGCCGCAGCAAGAGTCTAATGTAAATCAAGTCGAGGAGATGGAGACTCAAGAAGGTTAGTCATTAACTTGTACCTTTGACATTTGTTAGAGACAGGTAATTTAGAGGTTTGAATTTTTTTTAGATATGCCAACTATGCATTTATTGTTCATCCTCATCTAAATACCTTTTTTTAACTACATTTTTGTCAAATGCTGACACATTATTGAGTGTTCTAATTATATGATAACCTCAAATTTAAGTTAATTTATGTAATTTAATATTGAAAATATAGGTACTTAATCTTATATTTTTTCCTTGTGCTTGTTTTCTTAAACACAGTGTATATTTCTAAAGCCACACTCAATCTTGTTTGTTGATAAGGTAAACATTTTCTTGTGCACTTTCTTTGTTATGAATTTGCAAGTTGTCAAACCATATACAATCTAAATTTAGATTGCTTTGTTTTAGATGATCATGTGAAACTTACAAAGTAAAATCTATATTGATTGGAAATTGTCAAATTTCATTGCAAGTGTTTAAAAAGTTTTATACTATGTCATCTTTGACAAATTTATTTTTCATTGCTTTTGTGTTGTAATTTTTTTTTAATTGTGATTGGTAATTGTTATAAGTCAATTGTACTATGATTTAAAATTATGTATTTTAGTGAACTGTCGCATGTCTATGGTACAAGATTGATTCTACAGATAGAAATTATAAATCACACAGAATTTGGTATCACTTTAATGTCATATTAAAATAATTCATAAATTGTTATTAACTTTTTATCTTATATTTCTTCTATTAATATTCTAAAAAAACGGAACATCCATTATTTAATACAGTTCCTTATTATTGAACATTGTCTATGATTTAAACAAGTTGCCTGTCACAGGAAAAAGTATTTTTATCAAGCACTTCATATACTATCACATGTCATAAATTTCAAAAATGGCTGTCATGAAAACAATAGACATAGAAGTTTTTTAAGTAGGTTATCAATTTAAAGTTATATTTTCATTAGTATTATAATGTGGGCTTCAAATTGTTGTCTAAAAATATTTTTCTTTAATGTAAAAAGTAGAAAAGCCATAAAGAAGCAATTTTTCTAAGTTGCACCTTTGTTAATTATATGTCCAAATATTTCAGTGGAGACTGTTGACACAGCTACTGAAAAGATCTGGGATGAAGAATTTATTAAAGAGTCTAATGGTGAGGTTGTAATGGAGGAAGTTATGAAGAATCAGGAGACTACATCTTCTGATATGCGGGTGAGCCTTTTTTTTAATTATGCTATTAGTTTTTTATTTCTTTCTTAATGTGAGATATCTACAAATATATATCTATATTACATATATATTAATAAGAATACAAAAAGAAAAAAACATACAAATACTGTATCTGCTAATGAAGTGGTTAAATTTAGCAATTTTTCTCTCTGGCTTTAAAATGATTGTCAAATTTAGAGTTGTTGGTTGAATAAGGAAAATTTGAGGGAAAACATTTTAGCAACCAATTTGACAGTAAGGACCATCTAGTAAAAAATTACTTTATGCTATTAGTGTCTAATTGTTTCATTTGGGATGTGAGGTGGAATTGAGTAACCAATAAACCTTTTATTATTAGAATGGATGTTCTTATTTATTTAATTTTGGTTTACTTAAAAAGGCTACATTATCTGCTTTAGTTCAAGTTATGAACTTTTTATTAATAAGTATTTCCATATAAATCCTAAAAACTTTTATGCACGATAAAGGGTTTATAAATTTAATGTTACCTGCTCACTTGGTGGTTATGTTAAAATCATATGTGACTAAGTACTGCATATTGTGCTGCTATAGTTAATTTCATGTCAGAGATCTAATCATCATCATCATAATCATATCACTCATAGGACGTCCACTGCTGAAAATAGGGGAGCCATTGACTTCAGATACATCTTCATATATCTACATGTTCCCCCTGCCAGAGATCTAATGATATTAATTCATTTTTGAAACTTTTGTTCAAAAATAATTTTTCAAGTGGTTTATTGTGGATTTTTAAATGAAAGCATATTTTGGCTGAACAATACTCAACACTGTCAATATTTTTTATTATCCAAATATACAATTTTTGTTTGACTGAAATTTCACTTTAAACATGCCTGTTTCTAGTACTAATTCTTATTATTGCATTCTTAACCAGCTTGCATGTCTTGATTCTGAAATGGAGGATGATGAGGCAAGATCAGAAGCAACCTTCCGTTTCACAGTACCAAATTTTAGAAGCCTTAAGGATTCTATGCTTTCTGAACCATGCTATGTACGCAATCTACCATGGAAGATTATGGTGATGCCTCGCCAAGCACCTTCCCCAGATCGCCAACAGCAGAAATCATTAGGTTTCTTCCTTCAATGTAATGGAGAGAGTGAATCATCAAGCTGGTCATGCTATGCCATGGCCGAACTGAGACTTCTATCTCAGAAGCCAGATACAGAGCCTTTCTATAGAAAAATTCAACATTTGTTTTACAGGTATGTTTGTTTAGCTTTTATTGTTTGTATTAATACATATTCTTTAATTAATATTATGCTTAATTAAAATTCTAGTAATATACTTCTGTTCACAAATTAACTGTTATTTATATTGAATGAAAACAGGATTATTAGAAATTAATGTAATTTTTTGTGATAATTGCAACATAACCATGCTTATATCTTATACATTTCAAGTTATTACTTTTATTTAAGCCCACTGAGGGTAATAACTTTACTTGTATGGACTTAAATTATGTAACTATTCAAGAGCAACCCTTATTTTTGTTCATTTAAATAAAAATGTGAAAATTGATAAATGGTGATCACATTCACAGTGGAAAATGACTTTCTAATTTTAAAACAATACTTTTCAGTAAGGAAAATGATTGGGGATTCTCTCACTTCATGTCATGGAATGATGTATTAGATCCTGAAAAAGGTTATATCAAAGATGATTCTATTACTCTTGAGGTCCATGTCACAGCTGAAGCACCTCATGGAGTCTCCTGGGATTCTAAGAAACATACAGGATATGTAGGTCAGTACATATTTTTTTAGTTTGTTTAGACAGAGGTTCCCATACATTTTTCTCATAGACCACTACAGGGGGGGGGTCAAGTCTTCCATGCACTCCTTGGGGTCCCACCTGGACCAGTTTGGGAACTAAGGGTAATTCTAAGGTAATTTAAAAGGGTAAGGTAAAATCACAAATGTATTGGTTTCTGGGCGCAAAACCAGAAGATGCAGGATCGAATCGCGTAGCGCCGAAAGGTTTTGTTTATATCTACAATAATTTGCGAAAATAAATTTAAAATTTTATTATAATGCATTATATTTTCATTCCAGGTCTTAAAAATCAGGGAGCAACATGTTACATGAATTCATTGCTACAAACCCTTTATTTCACAAATCAATTACGTAAGGCTGTATATAAAATGCCCACAGAGTCTGATGATAGTACAAGGTACTGTAAAAATTATAATTATGATAATTTTTTAGTCTTAAATTTTTCAATAATTTGATGTAAATTATTTTATATTTATCTAGATCGGTTGCTTTGGCATTGCAAAGAGTGTTTTATGAATTGCAATTTTCTGATAAGCCTGTTGGAACAAAGAAGTTGACAAAAAGTTTTGGTTGGGAAACACTTGATTCATTCATGCAACATGATGTGCAGGAATTTTTGCGGGTAAGATTAAGATTGTTTGAATTTTTTTTTTATTCTATACAGACGTAATAATGCATAGATATGAACTTGTTTTAAATTTTATAATTATCAATCAATATTTATTGTGATTACTTCTACTATGAGAGTACTTTTTAATTTAATAAATGCACCTGAGACAGTTCTGGACTCAAAAACATCTTTTTTGGTTGTATTTAATTGAAATTATTTTGTTTGGTTTTAATTTTTTGGATTTTATTTTATTGTAACAATGTAAGAACATTGTAGACTAACTTTATTAGGTATAAAGTCAGTGAACAATGTCCAAGTAAAATAATAATAATATCCAAACATTTTGAAACAATATAAAAATAAATATTGGACAGTGAATTATTTCACCTATTAATGTGTATTATTCATAGCATACAAAATACACTCTGTTTTAATTCGTTTTTACCAAAAATTTTGCTGTTCAACTTTCATAGATTATTCAGTGGCAATAAACATATTTAATATTAGATATGTGCTTTTAGGTTCTCTTAGATAAGCTAGAGAGTAAAATGAAGGGCACATGTGTGGAGGGAACAGTACCACGTTTGTTTGAGGGCAAAATGACTTCTTACATTAAGTGCAAGAATGTTAATGTATCAAGTACACGAGTGGAAACATTCTATGATATACAGCTGAATATAAAGGGAAAGAAAAATAGTGAGTGATAAATTTTTTGTATTGTAGATATCTATTTTTTTTAGTGTTCAAAATTTTCATTCTTCACTAGTCATTACAAATTTTATTTCATAAATGTTATAATCTTGATAGTGGTTATAATTTATATCAATGAACTTATAATTTCTTTAAAAAAAGTATGATAATCAACACTAATAATTACACAGTAATTTGTGTAGAATGCAACATTTATTATAATGTTCCAAGAATGGTGTAATTTGGTTTGTATATTTTTGAATATTTACAAAAATAATAAAAATACTTATAACTTTTTATACTACATTGTCAATTTTGCGTAAACAAATATAATATATTAACTGAAAGAAGTTTCTATCAATTGTAATAACCACATATATGTTTTTAGTTGATGAATCCTTTAAAGATTATATTCGCACCGAGACATTGGATGGTGAAAACAAGTATGATGCTGGGGAACATGGATTACAAGAAGCTGAGAAAGGAGTGATTTTTGCTTCCTTTCCACCTGTATTGCATTTACACCTGATGAGATTCCAGTATGATCCAATAACTGACAGTTCCGTAAAATTTAATGACAGGTGAGGATTAATAAAGGTATTACAAACTTATCAATTATTTTTTCTACACATGATCTGACTCCAGATCAGAAGGTTGCGTGTTCAAATCACGTCGGGGTCACCACTGTGCGCCGTTTGTTGGCTAATAAAACTACATATTATGACACGCCTGTTTATTGCCAGCGTTGACTATGGACTGCCTTGCAATCACGTCGCTATACATAATTATACATAAATGTAGGCACAGCTTCATGTACCAGCAACATTTTTATTTGTTATTTTGTAAGTATTTAAATATATGGATCAAATAGAAAGAAAATAAAACTTATTATTTGTAATAAATCAATATTAATTATTTAATTATATGCTGTTTACACTTCCTCCAGTTTATTATTAATGTTACATTTATTTAAATATTGCTTTCTGTTAAACCTCATTTAATTGTAAAAAGTTATTACACCTTAGCATATAAAAGTACTAATCTTTTTTTAAGGAATTTGCAATTCAAAAATGTTCTATTTATATAATAACAACAGATATTTGTATCTCTATACATAGATGTTGCTTACCTTGATTAATACTTTATTTTATAGGTTTGAATTTTACGAGCACATAAATTTGGACGCCTATTTGCAAGAGAAACCAGAGACTCCAGCGGACTACACGCTACACGCGGTTCTTGTGCACTCTGGTGACAACCATGGCGGGCATTATGTTGTATTCATTAATCCGAAGGGAGATGGAAAGGCAAATGCATTTTAATTCCTTATTTATTTAGATAATGTTTCTTGTTTGATTGTGTTAAACCTTTTTGAAAGTATTTTTGGAATCCAAGTGATTGTTTTTCTTTATCATATCTAAACTTGATTTATACACTGTACGTCCTAATTAATTTCTCAAAGTTGAAAATAGTAATGGTCTACATGTGTGGCCCTTATTTAGGCAAAGGCTCATTGTAGTTGAAACATTATGGATGCTTAGTCTGACAATTTGATTACTAACGAAGGGATTTACAAAGTAATATTATCTAACACTTAATTCTGCTGTTTTCTCAAACATATGTTTGCACGGGTATTGATAACCCTTAGCTACATAGACAATTTTTTAGTACCGAACCCATATCTTTTCTGTATTGTTGATCGAATGTCTATAAGACTAGTCACATGTCAAAGTGTGATGGAAAGTTTATAACATTACTAGCTTTTTGCTGCTAGCGGCTCCGCTCGCGTGGAAACCCTTAAATAAATATCTTTCAGCCCTATACAACACTATTTTCCAATAAAAAATATGCCTATGTCCTTTCTCAGGCTCTAGACTATCTTTGTACCAAATCTCATTTAAATCGGTTTAGTAGTTTTTGAGTGAAAGCGAGACAGACAGACAGAGTTACTTTCGCATTTATAATATTAGTATGGATATATGTTTATTCGGCCATGAGAATTTTAAGTGGTCTATTGAGCTCTAAACTTTAAGTTATGCAAATGTTAATGTTGAATTACCTTTTTTACCCACTGTATAACGTTGATGTTACGTAAATGTATTCAGTGGAATTTTGAAGGTGTTGGTGTGGCATAAAGTATTTTAATTGTTGCCTGTTATTGGTACCAACAGTGGTGCAAGTTCGACGACGATGTGGTGTCGCGTTGCACGAAACAGGAGGCCATCGAGTATAACTACGGCGGTCACGACGAAGACATGACTCTAACTGTTCGCCATTGCACCAACGCGTACATGTTGGTCTATATAAGGTAATTTGTGTTTGTATACATTCGGCGTGCTTGGGGGCGAAAAATATTCTAGTCTAAAAATATAACCCCAACACTGTATAACATTATCATTACTGCAGTAGAGTTTGGAAAGAAATTGAATACTATATATACTCAAATCTGGAACTAAACTATTTGTTAATGTTTTTATAATGATATCTAAATTTACCATGAAAAAAAAAATCTTTTTAACTAATTGTATGGAACACACTCTTAGTTTACTTAAAAATCTTCATCTATTTCTTTGCAGGGATTCGCAGTTGAAGACTGTATTGCAAGAAGTTACTCAAGCTGACATACCCACAGAGCTTAGTGAAAGGTTGGCAGAAGAAAAGAGAATTGAAACTGTGAGTTTCGTTTTTATGTAAAATCTTTATTATATTATTATCGATATTCCGAATTTCTCGAACTCTTCAAATTTTGATGCATATGAACTATGATGTAATATATTTGTCATTGTCAACATATGCTGTGTTTGAATTTGGCATTCAGCAACCACATATTAAGTCAATGTCGTCATAAATATCATATCTTTTTTTCTTATCTTTGACTAACTCAACTTGCTTCGCCTTCATGGGCTCTTACCGCAAAGTGAGTTATCAGTCAAGCTTCAGGCCAGTTCACTAAACAAAAGTAAAGGTAATTAGCGACGACGACACCTGGAGCCACGGACCGAACGCCAAACCATTAAGAAGTGAAAATACTAAAGTAGGTCCCGTGACCATGAACGCTGTCAATTGTTTAAGACGTTGGGAATTTAATGATTTGATGACTCCATGCCGCTGTTGCCAAGGTATTGCTTTGACGTCGTTTGGGTCGAGGGTTCAATTCCCACACGGGACAGCTATTTGTGTGATCCACAGTTAATGCTGTTCGATCTGGTGTTGTTTTGTTTGTCCATATGAAGTTTATGTGTAGAAAACGTCTTTACAACACAGGATAATATCATCCTTTGTTTTTGGAAAATTTGTTTTACAGTTTCATTTGAATGTAACATTTGAAACACTACAGATTCGCCGCAAGGAGCGCAACGAGGCGCACCTTTACATGAACGTGAACGTGGTGCTGGAGGAGGCGTTCGACGGGCACCAGGGCAATGACCTCTACGACCCAGAGCGGGCACATTACCGCGTGTTCCGCGTCCGCAAGCAGGCCACCGTCTCTGAGCTCATGGACATGCTGGCCGAGAGCTTCAAGTACCCGCTGAGGCATATACGCCCGTGGCCGTTCAGCGCGCGTTCCAATCAGGTTAGTCGCAAGGTGATCAAGGGATATGTGTTCATTTGTTGCCAGCGAAACAACTTGTTTTGCAGAGTTTTTTTTTTCAATTTTTCATGCGCAACGTCAAACGAGCCAGTGGTTTTTCAGTTGATTAGTTGAAGACATTGTTGCCAATTGGAGATCATAATTTGTTATATATTTGATGATCATTTCATTGCATTTCCATACAAGTTTAGGTTAGTTCTAGGTTGAATATAACTGATAAAGTGAAATATTTTCACTATGTTACTGTTTTTCTATTCAATTTGGTACTCATGCAATTATATTTTTTTTTTACTGTTTCTTGTCGCAATAATGTTTCTTTTATTAAATAATTATCCACAGACTTGCAGACCGACTTGTCTGGACATATTCAACGATCACTCGAAGACGGTCGCCGACGTCTCGGAGAACATGAACCCATGGAACATATTCCTCGAGATGTTGCCCCCTGACTCCGGCTTCAGTACACTGCCGCCCTTCGACAAAGAGAACGACGTCGTGCTCTTCTTCAAGTACTACGACCCCAAACAGAAGCGCATCCACTACTGCGGCCACCATTACTTGCCGATCGCGAGCAAACCAGCCGACCTCATACCAATACTCAATAAACGTGCAGGTAAGTTAGCCCTTTCACAGCTGTTTATAAGGTCGATAAATATAATTTTACAGTCTTTATCTCTATTATTGGGGGACCTTATCAACGAAATAGAACCCAATACCATGATTGTTAAAATTTTTGTTTGTGCGTTTGTGCGTGCTAATTTCCGAAATGGCTATACCGATATGGGGACAACCTTCACTAACGTATTGTAGTAAGCTTCATTTAACATTTAGTTTTATTTAAATCTGTACCTAAATAAAAAAAAAACTATTTCAAATTAAAGAACCACATTAAAGATTTGTTCGATAAAATGCTATATAATAAATAGGTGCTGTTGAAATGGATGAAACTATAGTTAACTGTATGTTATGTTCTGTAAAATGATGATGATTGTAAGTTTATATGAATTTAAAAAAGTCAAGTGCGAGTCGGACTCGCTCACGAAGGGTTCCGTACATCTGTAAAAACGACTCACCAGCACTTAAAATGCTATAAATTTGCGAAAACATGATGTACAAAATTTTTATGTACTGTTAGAATGACCTTGAACCCAACTTCAATTGGTTCGATTCTCCCCTGGATCTGCTAAACATAAAATAAGCCAGGAACCAGGGAAAGCGGCGGGCCGATATCGACTTGAACCGCACTAGAAAGTATTTTTAATAGTGATGGAATGGACAAAAATAGAGGATGTCTCAGGGACTACTGGTCCAATCTGTAAAAAAGCTAGAAACAGCAGCAACAGCTTTTGCGAGAAGCGTAGAAAACTTGGTTTGAAAACATGGCTTGTTACTTTATTAATGTAACCAACATTCACTACAAATGCCTATGTCAACACAACAATATTGGGTCAACTTAAGAAACTAGCTCTATTGTATGCTAGTTAATTTAGTCTATTAAATTAATAGTGAAAAAATCAATAATTTGTTAAAATGTATTATTATAGTCATTTAAACTGTTTACTTAGTTTACCATATTTGTGTATGGATATACAGACCCTTTTTTTATCTACAGGTTTTCCACCTGACACCCCACTTGTGCTTTATGAAGAAATCAAGCCCGACTTTGTGGAAAAGATAAGCAATTATAATGATCCTCTTGAAAAGGTATTATTTATCAGTTTTACTCTGTCAATTTTTACTTAGTTTAAAAACCTTTGTACAGCCGATATATGTGACTTGCAAGCATATAAGTTTTTGCTTGATGAAGTAATTCTTAGAAGGAAACTGATATCTAACATTTTAAATGTTGTAAGATTGACTGAAAAATTTGAGAATCATAATATCATAGCAAGCTAATTTTTATTATACTTGAGTACCAAGCAGGTAATATTTAGGCTGATGGACGATTTTTAAACCCAATATTACACAAAATTATTAAAAATATGTTATAAAGTAAAACTTTCAACATTGCGAACTTTGTCAGTTCTTATAATTATTATAGTCATCCCTTTTTTTTGATTAAGGTATGGATTTATTTTAATTTAATTAGATTTTTAATCATTTGGTCATCATTGCGAATATCATACCTTTCAGACAATATTAAACACATTCATAAGCTTTGACATAATAATTTTTACTGCAAATACATTCAAATCATGAGCATAATTTTTTCTTTTCATAAACATATGCTCAATGCTTGAATAGAATGAGTATATTTATCAAATAAAAATTTCTAATACCATACAAATATTGCCACTTATAAACTTAAGCCAATACGTAAGACATACATAGTACATTCTGTCTGGCACATGGGCAGGCACGTCTGGGGAAGTACCACGGCCTCACAGAAGACCGGCGTAAGGTGGAAGCATTAAACTCTCGCGTTTCGTCCATTGAGTGTTGTAACCGGGGGCCCACTTTTCATAAGGTTGTCAGCTCATCTGCATCCCGGCGGTATTCATTTAATATCAGTCGAACCGCCCGCTCGCTTGGTAACTTTTCCCATAAACAAAAGAGTCCATAAACTCGCGCGAACAATTCACCCACAACTGCGTGGCGCGTACGCGGCCGCGCTCCGTATGTACGGGCCGTCCGCCCCTCGGGTTGAGTCGTGTGCACGCGGCCAGGTATTGGACGAACTGATGGACGGCGACATCATCGTGTTCGAGCGGGCCGACCACCGGCACGACGAGCTCGAGCTGCCCACCTGCCAGGACTACTTCAAGTACATATTCTACAAGGTCGAGGTGCAGTTCATCGACAAGACGGTGCCCAACGACCCCGGGTCGGTAACAACTTGACGTTCTATCTTGTTTCCCGACCATTTTATTTTCCCCTGCTCTCCGTTATGATCATTCACTGACATTATTTTGACTACTCTCATCTCTCATCTTTGCATCTGATTACACATTCAAGTATCCCTCCTTTTTGACTCTCATTCATTAAATATTAAAGAATATATTTTTATATTGTTTCATTTTCGTTCTGATACCCCAAATTATGCCCTACTTTTTCCAAAACCATGTTTTTGTTGATCCCATCACCCTTACTTTCTGACCTCTCCTCATTCTATTCTGACATCTCTCCCACAAATTTGACAGTCAATTCTGACGCTTCAATTAAGAATGGCGGCATACATTGTGATTCTCTTCCTCATATAATTATTGTTGTATCTGTCCTATTTTGTCTGTGTGTCTAAAGTTTCCATAGGCTCGGATTTCAAAATTTTTTATTCTAAACATCGCTTATTTATAATTATCTTTACGTATTTCGCATTTGCAAATGTTTTCTGATGGATTTTTTTAAGATGAACTATATTTTGTAGCCAATAATTTCGTCTCGTTATATTTAGTATTAAAATGATACAATGTTAAACAAAACCATTTTACCTTCGTTGTCGATTAAAAGTAAAGATTGTAAACAAAAAATTTAAAAACAATTGACAGAGTTGTGAGTTAGATTCCTTACATAGAGTTATTCAAAATTTTGAATGTTAATCAAAATTTAGTAGAGTATTTGTTCTTAAATGTAGGCTTGTTGATGAAATATTTCTTAAACTTGCATACATAATTTGTATACATCTAGAGATGTTAGCAGAGGTGGTATTTGTTTTATTTCCAACTTTTTCAATTTTATTGCACTACATTTGATCCCCTGTACAGTAATTCTGGTTTACAGTTTGCAGTTTCCTAATTATGTGTGTTTAATTTATTCAAAATTTTTAGATTCACCATGGAGTTGTCAATGCAAATGCGTTATGATCAAATGGCCCGGGCGGTTGGGCAGCGACTTAATGTCGACCCATACTTAATACAGTTCTTCAAATGTCAAAAGTAAGTATTAAAAAGTATTAAATTGAGTATTAAGTATTAAAATGATTAGATTTAATATATAAGTTTTTCTATTGACACTCATAAAGTTTGATTCGAAAATATTTATATAATATTTAATTGTTTTTCTATAATCTTTCACAGTTATAAAGATACTCCTGGACCTCCGCTGAGATATTCATACGACGGAATACTTAAGGATTTGTTAGTGTACTGTAAACCAAAGTGCCCTAAGAAATTGTTCTATCAGATTTTATCAATTAAAGTTAATGAGTTGGACAATAAGAAGCAATTTAAATGTTTATGGGTAAGTGTTACAAAGGTAAAAATTGGATAAAAAAAACTTTAATAGAGGTTTGGTACAAAAAGTCTATATGGTAACCTAAAGGCATGTTGCTTTTTTGTAGTCACTAGCACACGGCGTAAGGCACGGAGGTGAATGCAAGGTTCATGATGTAGAATACTATTTTAAGATTTTTGTCTTATGTAATTAGTGTTAAATGTTGCTCTTATTAGCAAACATAGCATGCTCATGCCACATGTAATTTATACTAAAGTTAGATAATTCAATGGCTCCTAAGTAGACTATTGTATGTTGAAAAAGCCAAGTTTATTGTAGATTATATCAAAATATGATGATTACCTGGTTTATGGTTTTTGCTGTAGTATATGGTAAATGTTTTATATCCAAAGCTTTAAAATTATCATAAATATGAAACTAATCTATAAACTGCTGTTAGAGTTTTCAATATATAATAGTATACTTGTGAGTCATCGAACTGTCACTTTTTAGTCCTGCTGTATTTGAACAACTACTTTTTGTTTCACAGGTCGGTCCCAATTACAAGGAAGACAAAGAATTAATTTTATACCCGAACAAGGGTGGTAAGGTGGCAGATATTTTAGAAGAGGCAGCTAAGGTGGTTGAAATGTCACCAGATGGATCTGGCAGGTTAGTATGAATAACGTGAAATTGTACAAAATGTGGAACTCCAGTATGTGGTCTAGCAATCTGGATTCGTTTTGTTCACAAAGTCTCCTGTCTATGCCTGTTGCTTGCTTCAGATAAGCATAATATTGCTCTTAAAACTGCAAGTGAAACCATCATCCAACAACTGCTACGATACTGCCTAACCTGTTAGGGTTATAGAATAGATAGTATTATAAATTACAATATTAAGATTGTGATGAAGAAAATTCTTAAGTTTGATAACTTCATTGACTTAATTCCTTTGGAATGGCGAGTCATGGGTTCGATTCCCGAATCAATAATTGTTCTAGATCTGTTTTTTTTTTACTTTCTGCCAAGTAAAGCTATTTTAATGTCAAAAACTGCAAGCAAAAACTTAATATTACATAGATAAGTTTTAATTCTTGTATTTAGTCATTATGTTTTTAACTTTTCTTGAATGTTTAATTTTATAAAGTATGAAATAATTTGCTTTTTTCATTGAAACTACTTGTAAGCAATGGTTTATTTATTAATTTTAGACTAAGGATTGTTGAGGTGTCATGTCACAAAGTTTTACCGGGTCCGGATCCTGAGCTGACATTGGACCAGGTTACTATAGCACCGCCAAGACTATACAGAATAGAGGAGATACCTAAGGACGAGTTGAATCTTCAGGTAATTCTTATATTTTATCTATATTTTATACTACAATAATGAAAAAAAATGAATAATGTTACTAAATGGTTTTAGTAACATTATTAATCTTATATATAAAAATGGATTGCTGTTCGTTAGTCTCGCTAGAACTCGAGAACGGCTGGACCGATTTGGCTAATTTTGACTTTGAAATATTTGTGTCAGTCCAGGGGAGGTTTAAACGATGAGAAATTATGGAAAAATTTAATGGGAATTCGAAATAGCAACAATTTTATCTTCCCATACAAACTGTGCCTGTCAACCTGTCAACTATGTCTGTGTAACCTGTTAAACACTATAAACGTGCGTTCTGATTCCTCTGGAAATAATTTATATGGCAAAACAACGTTTGCCGAGTCTGCTAGTAGTTAATATATTAACATTATTATTCTGTAAACTATTGTATGATGTAAAGATAACTGTAATTGAATACATATAGTATTAAATTTTCGTCTATTTGGTAAGTTTCCTGTGAAAATGGAAAGGAGACAGAAAGGGACGAGATTTTGTATTTATTGCTTATTTTCTTTATCAACTTTGTTGTATTTGAATAACCCAATATTACATATATAGGATAATGATGTACAGTCTGGTCATAATACACATGCTAGGTTACAAAAATTTGTCATATCCAAGAACTCTCATTTTAAGTTACCAAATTGCAATAACTCTGGCCACAGGAGGACGAGGCTCTGGTTCCATGCGCGCACTTTCACAAGCAGGTGTATGCAACCTTCGGGATTCCGTTCTATACGCGCGTCAAGCACTTGGAGCCCTTCCAGGCCGTCAAGGACCGCCTGCAAAAGAAGCTCGACATACCCGACAAGGAGTGGGAAAAGGTGAACGCTACATACCATAACGTTATATGACCGCCACCTAACAATGTTATATGGCCGCTACATACCATAAAGTTATATGGCCGCCACATACTACAACATTATATGACCGCTTTATACTATAACGCTATAAGACCTTGAACAATTTCTACTCTGTTTATAAGAAAAAATGTAAGTTAGTTTTGCTATCTTTTATATTATTCTATATTTGAAAACGTCAGTGTAAGCAATTGCAAAACTTTACATTTTTTTATGGTCTACGATTAAATGAAGTGGAAACTTGTATGTGAGAAACGTCTTATGTCAGAGACATATTGTTATATTAAAGGTCGGACTAACAATTAAGTGGCGGCGTCAATACTCATTTTATCTATCTCATTAAGGTCATAAGTATGCCTGGTTGTTTGTACGTCGAAGTGATAGTTAATTTATAAATGTTTCAATTTTCAGTACAATTTCGCCATAGTGACGAACGGCAGGCCGATATACATAAGCGAAGGGGTCACGATCAACATATTCGACTTCAGGCCCAGCACCAACGCAAGTGAGTTCTCTCATATAATCAGCCCTTAGGAATGTTGTGTTGTTAAAGGTAGCAAAAAACTTAAACATGCCTAAACTTTGTCTTTAATATGTTAAAGTCTGTTTACAAAACGCAATAATGGTTGCAAGACGGGAAGCGATTTATATTGCGTCGCGAATTAGAGGGATGTCCTCTCCCCTTCCGCATCAATCCGGTATATGTAAAAAGTACTCAATGTGTACTGCTACGAATTGCGGAGGCGCGTACAAGTTGTCGCGTCCACCGCAGCAAGTGGACTGGCGCGGAACGTTTGCTAAAATCAATTGAAGACATGCCCCTTCCAGACGCGACGGGCCGGCCTTGGCTGGGGCTGGAGCACATCAACAAGACGCCGAAGCGCTCCCGCATGAACTACCTGGAGAAGGCGATCAAGATATACAACTGAGCCATAGCGTACGCCGCCGGCGCCGCTCGCGGCCGCACCGCACCAGGAGCCACGTGACGGGGCGCCCGAACACGGACTGACGGACAGACAAACACACGTACCAGCGCGCGGCTAACGGTGACGTCACGCTGCCGCCCCGCGGTATATCGTAATTAATAAATAGCCTTATTCGCACGTAATGTACAACGCCGCCGCCGAGTCGACCTCCGCCCCCAAACCAGCGACGCGCCCTCGGCATGTTCGCGGGATCACGTTCCGCCGCGTCGTGCCGCGAACCGAATGAAATTGGCGGTCATCGTTAATTTTAGGTTTTATTATTTATTTCGCTCCATTTTCTCCGTGAACTACAATTGTATGGGATGTTTTCCGAATGTCTGCTACTCTACTACTGTTGCTGTAAATTATTATTATTTTTTTTGTTAGTATTTCGGCTTTGATTCGCCTGTTAACTTACTTCCAGCCGTGGAACCTTGTTGCGGCCCTGCTAACTGTTCAATAAATTGTTCAATTAATTAATATTGTTCTTTTTCGACAAATTGGATGGTCTCGCCACCAGAGTTGTGCCAATGGTTTGGTAGTTGTCTCTAGTTCCGATCGACTGGTTGCCATGCTAGCCTTTGGTGATTCGGCAAAATTAGGCATTAATGGAAGTAATCGGAGTCCATAATAATTTTGTTATAACATACCGTAATTTTCACTGATGTGCAACAAAATTATTCTGGATTCAGACTACACAAAAGATACACGCAGTGCGTGAACTGGTTATAGAGCTTTGTTAAAATTTTGTTAGGTCACTCACTGTCAATTTTAATCCAATTTAACAATAATGACTCAGGGTGGAAATCAGTTTTTAGAATTTATCAATGAATAATGTTAAGCAGCTCCTTTTGTTTCTTTTCTTTATTTTAATATTTGATTGTAATTATAAATATTTGTATTAATAGTTGCGGCTTCTCACAAATAGAGTGCACAATTATTTCTGCTTTCTGTGTTTATAATTTTTGGCCTTATTAACTCTATATTTGTAATGATCACATGTTTAAAAAATATCTTTTTGATAATAACCAAAGTACAACACCTAGTTTTCAATCGTTTGTATTTTTAATGACTAATGATAAAACAATTTTTTTTTGTTTAGATCCAACTAAAACTTTACCTATTATTATAAGTTCATAAGGATGTCTTCTCAGAAATAAATTAGCAAAAACTATTTCGGATTATGATTTGAAGTATTTTATGTGTTTTTATTAGTAGGTTTGGTCTTGGTATTTCATTAAAAATATATTCAAATATTGTCAAGCATCCTTTGACACCTCAGTGATGAGGTTAACAAATTTATGGGTCCAACAATTGATTATATTTTGTTTTCTCTGATACTAATAATTTTTTATGGACTATTTTTATATAGTTCCTGTGATTTAAAAAAATAAACATATTCTAAATGGTAACACCACATAAAATTCTTAACTATCGATTATTTGATAGTGATGTGATAGTTGATTGAATAACGCTTGTATATTGCCAATTTCCACCATTTTAATGTCTTTGAACATGTATCAATTTGTGCTTCCTAGCCTTTGAAATGTTTCCAATTTTAAAATATAAGGTATTAATCATTTATAGAAATGTGTATAGTAATGTTTTACTTTTGTCGAATTACCAAATTATTTATATATATATATTAGAGGAGGTTGCATATAGAATTGGTGAATAGAGTAATTCCTTGAGTTTACGCGTTTTTGCACATGGTACATCTATAACAAATAGCACTATTGTTAACTCCGGCTAAGAGCCCTTTGTAAACAGCCAAACATGTATATGCTACTAATAATTTTTTTACTTGACCGCCCAGAAAAATGTTACGTTATTAATAAAATGATTATGTCGAAATTATGTATATATATGATGTATTAAATTAAGAAAAAAATACACTAAGTTTTCGTAAAAGATGCCTTAGACGTTTTAAGACATTTTAGTACTTTAAAGGTTAATTTTTCACCCTGCTTATTTCTTTCTTTTATGAAAACAACATCAACGGCATTTGAATTGTAGAGATACTTACTGTCTTGTTTATTTTTCATTATTTTTACTTTAACATTTTCAGTTCGATTCGATTTTGTTTCTCCATTTGAAGTTAACATTGTGTGTCGGTAAAGCTGTTCTTATTAACACGGTTTGAGGTATTTCGTGACGGATTTAGACAAATAGCGGCTTAGTTTAATCGCCGAAAGTAATAATTATATTAAATGGGATTATAGTCTATATTAAATAAAAGTCGTTTTACCACCCATGAACCATCTGTAGTGGCCCTTAATTAAAATTGAATGTACACAGCTTGTACAAACATTTGGGGTTGTTTCAGATGTTTGCTATGTTGGATTTGAATGTTTCACTGAATATAATCCTATATTTGTTTAATTTGGTTTATTTTATGCAGCTTTAATTACCTTCGAGCATGATGACGAAAACAAGCTTAAGAAAATCTTACCATTTTTGCCCATGAAACGAAGCCTTCGCTGTTAGTGTTGTCACCAAGATTGAAGGGTTTTACCTTAAAGTTAATTAAGTATAGTTGTGATTTATATAAAGAAACAGCGATTTAAGAAAACTTATTTGTTTACAAACTAAATAAAATAATAACCAACTTCGAAATAAAATATCATAAAAACACGAACTTAAATATATTCCTTTGTTTTCTTTACACATAGCTTGTTAGGCATAATTATAACTTTGTTTAAAGCAACTAAGTTTTCTTACGTCGATAAACAAGAACAATATAGAAGACAATTAAAAATGACTAAGACATTACCAAGTTAATATAGAATAATATTATATAAAAATTTGAAACAAAAATATTAGCTAAAGCAAGGTTTTTTCACATTAATGTCACAACCAAAAAATAATATATACGTATATACGTATATGAATGGTGTTAAACAGTAACTACTGGTTTCTTATGTCTTGCCTGATACCTAAAAAGGCAGTAATAATTCAGAATACCAGGAATATATGTGACAGCAGTGTATTGCAAATTAGACTTGAGGGCAGCCACTTATCTGAACAATTTATTCGGTGTCCATCGAACAGCTGAGAATGGCTTCTTAATAAAAGTTAAGCAAAATGAAAATTGCTTGTGTTCTAAAATATCACGATTAGACGTTTTGATTTTTGAAACTTGTTTTTAATAATTGGCGTCGCGGCGATCCCGATCGTTAAAAGTAAATTACACAACTTCGTTTGTATTCCAGATCCGAGTTATTTGTGCCTGTAAAACGTTACAGCAATGCAGTAATGTTTGAATAATAATGTTGCATTTTTTTTAATGTGACAATTTGCCAAGCGAGCAGGTGGTTCACCTGATGTTAAGTGAATACCACCGCCCATGGACATCTTCTACACCAGAGGGTTTGCAGATGCGTTGACAACCTTTTGAAAATTGGGCTCCGGCTACCTCACTTACCAGACGAAACGCGGAAGTATCATACTTCCACTTTACGCCGGTCTTCTGTGAGGTTGTGGTACTTACCCGGACGAGCCTGCCCATTCGTGCAACAGCCGAGGCTGCTACGTGGCCCTATCACCATGAGATTCTACATTGAGATATGCCAGTTTTGAGAGAAAAAATTCCAAGGTCATGTATTTCAATCATTATCTTTATTATAACAGCTATTGTGTAACAGAGCCACCGCTAAACATTACTGACCATGTATCAATTTAATTGTTTATTATTTTTTAGTTCGTTTATACAGAACTGAATAATTTTACACAACAGTCTGGAAAGCAATTTTATTTCGGTCAGTTCAAAAAGCTATTTTGATAACTATATTTATTCAATACTATAGTGGTGTCTTTAGGTTCGTAGCTAGGTGAACAAGGGCTCCAGTGCATAAGAAAAAAGAATACAAAAACAACAAAAAAGAATAAAAATAAGATTAACTTATTTATATTTTCCTACTAGAATAAGTACGTTGAATTTATTAAGTGTAGAACAGGGTGTTCAATGAACGAAAATGGGAATAAATAAACAACGATGCATATTTTTCTACAAGTTTTAACGATGCATGTGACAATATGAAATGTTTATTATACAGATGTGACATTAATTTGTAGAGAAAATAAATCCGGAAGACGTGGATTGGATTCACGCTGCGGCTTGAAATGACTACGCATACACACACGATGTCACGAGGTCTGGAGCACACACCAACTACAACCCCCACGAAGTTCAAGCCATGTGCATATCAGCACGGCCACGGGAATGCTTTCGCGCACTGTGATCCTGCCAGCGTCGGCAGCACCCTGGAACTTTTAGCGCGCCCTCCCACTCGAGTTCGCATGCTAGTCTGCGGCTCCACCGTTCACGGCGTTTCGGCCGCGGAGGGTAGGGAGAATAGGGCATCGCAATACTGTATTTGTTACTTTATATAAAGTAACTAGATGACCTGGATGAAAAATACCGAGCAAAGCTCGCTCGGTATTTTTAAAAAAAAGTGTGTAATTGATCGTGACACGAACTGTGGCCTTCTGTTTCGGGGCCGCCCGATTACCAACCGAGCTATTATAACATTTTTTTTTCGGCGAAATTTACCGTCATATTAAATGATATTTTTCATTCCCTGAAAACAGGGATAAAACGACATTTACTAAAAATGAAACCTAGCCATTTTGGTTTTTTCACCCCCGAAAATATTATGCAATATTTTTTTTCTTTGATATTAATTCAATTTACACTTTTTGAGCGTGAGGACCGATAAGAAAACAAACTTTTTTCTTTTATTAAATAAATGAGAAGTTAATATCGTTTAAAATATCTTAACCTTTAAACGAGGACCTTTTAGCTAGGTTTAATTTTTAGAAAATGTCCTTTTATCCCTGTTTTCACGGAATGAAAAATATCATTCGAATATGACGGTAAATTTCGACAGAAATAAAAATATAAATAGCTCAGTCGGTAATCGGGCGGCCCCAAAATAGACGGCCGCGGTTCGTATCACGATCATTTACACACTTCTTTCTATAACAGAGCATTGCTTTCTATTTTTATTTTTTTTATTTCCAAAATATATGATTTACCAAAAAAAAAACGGAGCAAAGCTCGGTCCTCCACGTACTTTTTATTATCTTACAATACATGTAGGTTATTCAGGATAGTTATCATTGAAATTATACGTTCATTGTTACTAAAATAAGAAACAACAAAAATAAAATTTGAGACTTGATATCCTCTAAATATCATATGATAATATAATCATATGATGACATATCATAATATAATATTATAATATATTATAAAATCATATTATAATATCCATCCGTGCGAGCTTCGTACATTCGTTCCATATACTTGACTCTGCGAATTTCTTGATTCGGTCGCTGCGCTCAAAGCCCGCGACAAAGCTATGCAATAGCTTAAAAATATTTTTGTTTCTTGTACTAACTAACGTTGAAAACTGAACGAAAAGAAATCCTCTTCATCAGCCGCAAGACGTCAACTTTTTTTTTATGTGAAAAGTTGCCAAACGAGCAGACGGTTTACATGATGTATAATACAAACAGTAAAGACTTACAATATATAAAAAGAACTATATATTATAAATACCTTTTAATATAAAATAATGTTTTTTTTTTTTTTTTTTTTTTTTTACTTTTACTTAAACTGGTTACAATACAAGATAAGTTTAAATATTGAGTAAATGGGTATTAGGTAATTTTAATTATACCCAAACCTATCTGGTTTACGTACAACGCGACCACTTCTAGTGATTATCGGTTCATTACCAGCCGACGGTGCTGGTGATTGTTGTCCTCTTAACTGAGAAGGTAATATCACCTGTGAAGATGTGATCGGTGGCGGTCGGATGTCCTGATCATTATCAAATATGAAGTCGTAGTCCCAATTTTTTGTTCTTGTTGGCCTAGTATTATTAGGTAATTTCATTATATGCGACCTATTCCTACGATAAGTTCCTCTTTAAGTTTTGGTATCAATCTGGAATCTTTCTAGAAGCATTCACCACTGGCATAACGCTTTCATCTACATTTATTTTACATGTTGTTGGTAAACAGCCTAATCCGCTAAAAAGTGACTCTTCCGTTTTATAATTAATTACTTCATTTAAGCGCGCTAATAATTTTAATTTCTTAAATGTTTCGAGCCCTAACAAATTGCTGCAAGTTATATTTAAAACATATATTTTCTGTTTTACTTTTACACCTTTATAAGTCAAAGTTGGTTCAAAAAATCCTACCACAGGCAACTTTGACTTACTTATTTCTCTTAAAACTACTTTATTGCTTATCAAGATGTCTGTGTTAAAACCTGCACCTTTGAAAGCCTCTAGTGACATTACTGAAACATTTGCTCCGCTATCTAATTTAAAAATCACGTTTGAACTGTCAACACGCACAGTCTCATACCATGACTCATTATCACTGTCTACCGAGTCAATAGATAAATTATATAAAAGTCACTTTCATCCTCTTCATCGTGGTTGACTTCATTAACAATTTTCGCTTTGCACAATTTAGCGAAATGACCTACTCGATCACACCTAAAGCACTTAAAATTACGTGCCGAACACTTATTATCACTTCCATGTCTGTGGCCGCACTTATCACACGCATAAGCACTTCCATCACCGTAATCCAACTTGTATGCTCGCTGCGGTCGTGGTTGATATCGCTGCGGCAGGCGGCGCGCGGTGTACCGACCGCGGCCACGCGCTCCCGCTCCTAACTCATCCAGCGCCGGATCGGCGGACGTCGACGCCGGCGCAGCCTGATCGGCGCGCCCGCACCTCTCCGCCTGCTTGCCTGCCCTCTCGATCGCACGACACCACGAAACGGCACTTTCCTAACTGAGAGTTTCTTTCGCCAGGAGTCTTTCACGCATCGTCGAGTCTTTAATTCCTCTTATAATTTGAGTGAGAATCAAGCTATCACGTAGATTTCCAAACTCGCACGTCTTGCTTTTGATTTTTAACTCACTTAGAAATTTATCGAACATTTCTTCGTGTTGATATGTTTCAAAAAATATGTGTCGTTCGTAGTTGACATTTCGAATTGGATCACGCGTTTTCCAACAAAACGTTCACAACGTTCTTTAAATTTTGTCACTAACTTTTCGTAATCTATCTTCAAAATCTCACTCAAATCTAGTTCTTCAAAAATTTCACGTCCATATCTCCCAATAACATGAAGAAATGATGCACATTTCTCCTTAGCGGGAGCGGTGTCCTTTCCCAACGCACTAAGATAATAATCGAACGATGATTTCCATTCTCGCCAATTGAGCGCGATGTTGCCGTCCTCGCGCATGGCCGCCGGTTGTTGGATCGCTGAGCAAATAGACGCTGCCGCAGTGCTTTTTGGTGTTTCTCCTTCGTTTCCCATTATTACTTATTAACAACTCTGTATTATATAACACTTAACGTGAAATGGCCACACCTGACACCATGTAGTAATCCAAGGTGTAATAAATGAAACGCACTCGACGATGTGTGTGACAAGACTGATTTTATTGCCATATACCAAATGCTGTACTTATATATATAACTTACAACTACAAAACTTTTGAAAATTGGGCTCCGGCCACCTCAGTCACCAGGCGAAACGCGAAAGTATTATACTTTCACTTTACGACGGTCTTCTGTGAGGTCGTGGTACTTACCCGGATGAACCAGCCTATTCGTGCAACAGCCGAGGCTGCTGCGTGGCCTTACCACGGTAAAACTGTTGAAAATATCTCCCTTAGAACGCCACAACGAACGACAGTGCCATTTGAATCCACCGGTTGCCCGCGACTTACTATGTCGGTCGGTCCACCTTGAGGGAGGACTTCTAACGCTACGTCTTCCGGTTCGTGGTCGCCACTCAAGACCTCTTATTCCCCATCGGTCATCATTTCTTCGAGCGATGTGGCCCGTCCACTGCAACTTCAACTTGCACATTCGGCATACATGTCGGCGAATTTTCTCGTTCCGGATTTCCATAATTATTTCTCTCGATTTAGTGCGTTGATCCCATAAGCTTACAACGTCTTCAATTTTATGTTTTTATCTATATCTGTGTAAATATTTAATACTACGCTAACGATTTCTATCTACCTCGTATCAGTAAAAATCCATGTACCTACCTCAATCGGAAAAACCCTTCATGAATATCTAATAGTACATTCACAAAGTAATATTGAAACTGGCCTTTTCACGTTGGTAAAAGCTAGATATAACAGTGTAACATTGAAAAATTTTATCCCTCCAGAGTTTCTAAAACGCAAAAGCCAACATTTTTTTTACTGTGAAAGAGTTGATAGAGATGGGAAATGGGAAAATTAAAATGTTTCATTACAATTTTCTCGTATTTAGAGTAACAAAATGCTGTGCCTATTTCAAAGTAGTCCTGAACAGTTATTACATGTTCATTCGTTGTGGCCGTGAATGGGGCATTCAAATTTCGCATTCAAACTCGGTCCAATAAACGTCCTTCAGATGGAAACAATAGACTTTTTGATAGTAATGGCTTTGATGAATGGAAAACGCGTTTCTAGCTGGATGTAAAACAATAGAGAAAGCTTCGCAAGTACCGTATTCCATGTTCAACAGAAAAAAAGTAATCGCCAGACAGGCTTCTTTCAAACGAATTATTTTTAAACCTACAGTGGTAAATAGCGTTGCGAATGTTCAAATATTTTTACATACGTCAAACATATAATTTGTACTCTGATATTTTAGGTTTTAAGTAATGTGGGTAAGTTAAATTTAAAATATTTTCAGACCACAATTACTTAAGTCTCTGCATGATGAGAACACAATTCATCCTCTTGTCAATCTAACGAACTCCAAAATTCATCCCATATATACATAGGTCACACTAAAAATTTCCGGAACTGGCCACTTACTAAACAATACTTAAAAACACTAATTACAACATTTGAAAATGGAACTCTTTGGCCGTAGAATGCAGTTTGGTTCATCTGACTGTCAATTGTTTTTACATTTTCAAGCCATTTTAGAAATTGCGTGTTTACAATTAACATGGATTTATCTCGGGAAAATATTCCAAATATATATATATATATATATATATATATATATATATATATATATATATATATATATATATATATATATATATATATTTATAATATATTTATATATTTTTTTTACTCAATCGATTATGGTCGCTCTAGTACAAGTAGTCTAGCAAAGTAGCAACTGTAATTGTACTTTCGCGCACGCAATACAATTATTACTTTAACTAATTAATAGGTCCTAAATAATAATATTAATAATATTATTTTAATGTAAGTGCCATTGGCGTATCTAGGGCTGTTTTTCAGGGTGGGCCTGGGCCCTTACTACAAAAAAAATCGAACACTATAGAACTGTTAAACAGCGCAACGGATTTAATGCGATTTTCAGCAACAGATATTATTCGAGTAGAAGGTTTACATGTAGTATATAGTAGAGAAAATTCGAGAAATTCAATGTCTACATTGCACCGTGCGATGCCGCGGCGGGTCGCTAGTTTCCTATATGAAGAAAAGAACGTCTCTTCTCCCATGGTAGATCTCAACTAAATGTTAATTCTCCGCATTGCTGAAAAGCTCCGCTCGTATCTGGCTGAATTAATCATAATTGCAGCTTGAATTAATTTAAAAAGATTTGGGGATAAATCTTGTATAGCGTGTTCCTTAAGAACTTGAAATTTAATATTATTTTCTTTTATTAGGTTTTTTATAATGAAGCATTCTGCCTTTAGATGGGTGTTATACATTCTAACAATGTCTTTGTAAGATAAAAGCCTTCCCATTTTCGAAATCCATGTTTAAAAATGCATCGATCATTTGGGCCAGAGTTACACTTTCGAAACTGCATTTTAGGGTAACTATACATATGTCACACTAAAAGTTTCTGGAACTGGACAGTTACATAAACAATGTTTAAAAAGTAATTACAACATTTGAAAATGGAACTCTTTGGCTGTACAATGCAGTTTATTTCATTTGACTGTCAAATGTTTTTACATTGTGGCGCCATTTTAATAATTGTATGTCTACATTAACATGGATTTAACTCGGGAAAATGTACGATTTTAAGTGTAATTAGAAAGTTCAGCAGAGCCTCGCTCGCCTTAATCTGCTTTTGGCGATGAAGGATAGGTGTCCAGCCTAGAATTTCGAATTGGTAACCCAAAATCCTGGGGTGGGCACTAGACCATACTGGGGTGGGCACGGCGCACTCGGCCCCCCGCTGTATACGCCTATGGTAATGGCAAATATGAGTTAAGCGCTGAACGAAATCTGGAGGATCGCTGCTCATAGGTACTGTTGCGCACGCCTATATTATACTTTAATAAATAGTTAATGTATGTAATGTTTAAAAAAAATCGATTGAATGTTCTAAATTCTAAAGAGTATGAGGTATGAATACTGTCTATCATGAAGTGTAATTTGTCGAAATTTGATGTTTGCCGTTCTAATGGTATTTCAAATTTCAATAGGAATTCCAATCTACGAGTATCGTACTAGGCTGATGGTTCGCTCGACAGATATCGAAGGCTCGAAATGCTTGGATGCAAATCGGATTAGCTCCAACGATTGCCATTCTGCTTTAATATGCCCGTTGAATACTACCAGCGTAGGTTGCGCAACATATTGATGTGTTCGATTAAATATTGCTTTAATTTTTTAAATTCCTCTTCTTCCACGTGTTTAAAGTGCTCTACATTTTAATCAACGACACAATATATACTTAAAAAACCGGCCAAGTGCGAGTCTGACCCGCGCACGAAAGGTGTCGTAACTTTATCTACAACAACGGAAAAAAATATCATGTCTGTTGTATGGGGGCCCCACTTAAATATTTTATATGGTATTTGTTGTTATAGTAGCAACAGAAATACATCATCTGTGAACATTCCAACTGTCTAACAGCTAACTATCACGGTTCATGAGGTACAGCCTGGTGGGACAGACAGACAGACAACGAAGTCTTAATAATAGTGTCCCGTTTTGCCATTTGAGTACGGAACCCTTAAATATGAACATGCGGACATGTAGATTGTCTATCAGACTGCGGTAGGGCGACGCATAAAAGAAAATACTGTCTATAAAATAAGTGAACTTTTTCTTTTGTTCCGCGACCCCACTTCGGTAGCAGAGGACAGGGGGAGCCATCCTAGAAGAAGAAGAAGAAGAAGAAAGAAATATTTATTCAGCGCATAGAGAAAAATAAAGGATAAGAAATAACACTAGAATTGTAAAAATGCATGCACCAAAAAGGTCTCCGCTCAGTATATAGCCGTGGCAGACAAAACCACGGCACTGGTTTTCTGCAGATACCTTGTGAGATTGGCGTTCAGCTCCATGCATACAGCTAACAAAAATAACATTGAAATAAAATAAAAACAATAAAATAGGAATATAAAAAGTTAAGTACAATAAAATCAAAAATAAAATATAACATAAAAACATATCCCCGACACAATACGAGTATATTTTATACCTATGTGATCCGCAGACAGCGATATGATCGGTTTTACTCCGTCTTTTGCAAATGAAGCAGAAACTTTTTGTATTTTGCTTTAAAGATTTTGATTCTTTATTTTATTTGAATTTATATTTATTATGTATGCATAAATAGTAGGTATGTAATATATATATATATATATATATATATATATATATATATGCGTATATATACATATAGTGTACAATGAATAGTATGTGTAATATAATATATACGTGCAAGTATGTGTATAAAATTGTAATTATATACATTTATAATGAAGTATATTTAGTTTTGCCATATTCTTTATGATAGACACTAAAAATCTTGTATGTCATTTTAGCGTTACTACTCGTAACTTGAACTCAACCACCAAAGGTTAACTGGAAGAAAATGCTATTTAGCATTAAGTTCGCCTTTGTACAAACTTCTAGTACAATAAAGAATATACAAACAAACAAACAAACAAACAAAAGATATGTAAAGACGAAGAGTTTCTAATAGGTGGTGGGATGTTATTCCAACACTTTGTGGCGGAATATCGAAAGCTTCCACGGAAAGCCGCAGTATTAAAAGTGGGGCATATAAGTCTTGATCGGCGCTGTGTAAATTTTAACTTGCCATACAGATATGATGGAATTTGTTTATTTATTACCCCGAAAATTAAGGACGTCCTCCTCTACCATCCTCGACCTGTCCCCCTTTCACCGGGCTCAATGAGCTCACTCGGCGCGGCCTTATACCCCAGGCCAGCCCAGTCTGGGTTCCTCTTGGCTTTACTGTAGGTGACCAAGCCACTACTGCTAAGCCCCTGCGCCGCCACAAGATGACAAGGCTTCCCCGCCTCGGTCGGATTGTGAAATAAGTCAACTTAGCTTAGTTTGA